TTATAAATTAACTAGACTTCGTCCGCGTGGAATTTATTACGGTTGAATTTCATGGGTTGTAATTTTATTGCGCGGAAACCTAATTCTTTTTCTAAAATAAAGGGATTCTAAGTTACTCCTTAGAACATCAGCTACCAGTGACAGTCTTGTCAAAATTGGTTTAGACATTTCTGAGATTAACCGAAACAAACAGACAGACACAGCCAAAACTTTTTTATAAGTACCGTAATTATCACATGCATTTTTTTTAAAGCTGTTATTTAAAAATTACAGACATTTCAATTTTATTTATTTGTATAGATTAGTAAGTAGCAACCAAAAAATCACCGACAGAGAAACAGTTGGTCGATTTTGTAGGTCAATTTTGTAGGTCCATTTCTTAAAATCAAACTGAAGGGTAAAAAACAAAAGGTTTAAAAGCAATACGAATGATCAAAAACGTTTAAGACAGTAATTAAATTGCCTTATAAAGTTTACTGGAAAGAAAAATTTTATATCATATGTCACTTCAATTAGAAGGAATATATTTTATATTCCAAAATGAAATCCATCAAGCCGTTTAGGTTATAGAGCGTGTCAAAGAAGTAGACATTCAGACATACTAATAATCATTGACACGTGTTTTAGCGAAGTTACGAGAATGCTTATTGCTATACTTCGCTAAAACACGCCTACCTCTTAAAAATAGACTATTCTGCTTTACATAACTACTTAACTATTAAATCGATATTTAGTTAAGAGCTGTTGAGAACTGTTTACATGCATAAAGTTAAAAATTAGTTAATTACTACGTCACTTACGTCCATCAATGTACCAACGGTTTTTCTATGTACCAATGTGGACAAGTATGTAATGTAAATAAAAATTATGTATTTCAAAAACCACTTTTATTTGAAAAATAGTTCCTTTTTTTATATTAAAATGATTGCTAATCGTTTCAAAATTGGTTTATGAATGTAAAGTATCATAATTTACAAATAACTTTGTGCTTTTGTTTTCGTTTTAATTTAGCAATGTATATCATTGAAACGAAAAACTACAAGCTATATCTATCTATATGGTATTTTACATTCTTAAGCCATTTTTAAAACGAAACAACCAAAACGCCAACTAAAAAAAAACACGTTTCAAAATTCCCGCGCAAAAATTTTTTAGTGGGACACGACAGAGATGGCGTGCATTATGGGTGCCATTTTCTTTGTTTGAAGTTGACATTCTTCCCGCCTAAGGGTATTAGCGTAGACAGAGAAACCTATAGACAAATTGACGCCTTCTTTCGCATTCGCACACGAAAAAGATAGATTTATGTATACGTCTTGCATAGAAAGGAGATAGAGCGGTGTGATTGTTTGTCCCTTTCTCCGTGCCGGTTTTTTTGTTTAGCAAACCCTAGAGTTTGCTAAACAACTTTAACAGCGTAGCGATTTAAGGAGTTTACAAGTTGGTTTAAGTGAGAAAAAAGTGTTTTGTGAGCTTAAGATTGGTGAATCTTGGTAAGTTCAGTTCTTAGAACAGTTAAAATTTTTATCTAAATGTGTTTAAAAGTCATAAAGATTATTGTATAACCTAAAAATTCGTTATCGTCCTTTCTCACTCGAGGCCACGCCGATCATTAGTCTATAGGTTTCTCTGTCTACGGGTATTAGTGTTCTGTGAGCTTGCTACATATTTATTTATCTATGGCCTACTGGCCTACTGTAAGTAAATACAGTATTGCCACCATAAAATTCTAGCCATCGGTGGGTTACCTACTGAAAACGGCGGATTATAATATAAAAAATAACCAAAAAAATATATGATTTATTTATATATTGTATTAAAAAATCAACAAACATGAATCTTTTATTAAAGTTATTACTTATATTTCGAAAAAATGGGTCTAACTTTGTTGTTTTTTACCGAAATATATCTTCTTGATAACTTCATCGCGCATTTTACTTTAGTTTGCAACCATATCGCTTGAATTTCCATTTTCCAAGAGTGGTTGCTTAACATCGTGCGGCGGAGTATATTACGCATTAATGAGAACGCATGAAAGAGAGGTAAGACGGCCGATTATCGAGTCAAAGACTTTTAGTACCGGCGGATTACAGAGTTAGTACTTAAATAGTATGATACTCAATAATAGGAAGACTACTAATGAATAAGTTAACCTTAATTTCATACCTCATTGAATTCTATAACTAACGAAAATTGTGAAGAGAAATTTATAAAGAGTAACTTCGAACATTGAAATGGGAAATTAGGCAACAATATTGGAAAATTCAGACTAATCTCCGTTAAAGCAGCAATAATTTCCGATACAGAGGCTTCTGAAATCCCTTTGATTGATTCTATTTTGATACATGAAAATGGCTATAATAGTAACTGTCATACTATAGTATTTGTAAATTAATAATAATTTGTAAAGACAGTTTGAAAATATCAAATCATTATTTTTCTGGCAGCTCAGATGGTTAACGCGCGCTGTAAATATAACAGAACGCGAGTAACCCAGGTTCGATCTCCGCCGGCACCAATGAAATTGTTAATTGCAATTTTAAGTGCTGATTTACCACGTGCTCGGCGGTGAAGGAAAACATCGTGAGGAAACCTGCATGTCTGAAGAATAAGAAAAAAATATTTCGAAGACACGTGAAGTTCGCCAACACGCATCAGGGCAGCGCGTCGGACACTACCTTGCCCTAAAACCCTCTTCGAAATGAGGGGAGGCCTGTGCCCGGCAGTGGGACGTATATAGGCTGTAACTGTAATCATAACTGGTCAGAACCACTTTTGACTGCAACAATCAGCCAACAGTATTTTTGACTAAGGACGTTCGTCTAAACTACTTTTAACTCGTTTAAATATTGGGTAATAGTGATTTTGACCAAATTATATCGGTTAAAAGTGGTTATGACTGGGAATATTAGCCAAAACTACTTTTAAGTCATATATATTTTTTAAATAATCTGATACTTACTCGTACGATTAGGCTATTTGCTAAAGCTGTAAATTTAAAATGCTGTAAGCTGTCAAATTATAAGGATTACTTGGTCGTGGATTCGAATCCGCCATTTGACTACTGTCGTGAACCACTTCTAACACAAGCGTTTCAAGCTTACCAGGAGTGGTTAAAAGGAATATTAGTAATGTTAATTAATAAGATTACTAATATTTAAAAGAAACTATAATCGTTAGCCATTAATAAATTAAAATATAATATTGAAAGAATTGAACTACAACTATTAGTTTTATTGTGCACCTAGATTTATACTTAGACAGAGAGGAACGCCTGCGTATAGCTACTCACCTACAATTCGCCGGTGGCCCGTGTTGCTCTATCACCGCGTGTAAACTGCACACATGTTTTTATTTTGTTTTCAATCAAGTAATAGCCATAAAAGCCATAAAACCAAACATTCAAACAGTATTATAAAAAAAGAAAAACATGTGTGTATTTCACATGCAGTAGAGGTGAAACCATCAAAAAAACTGTAGTTGTGTAAGTTTTTTCAACCACAAGTGCGGCAGAAAATATAAGATAAAAGTTTAATTTTATAGCAAATAAATGTTAAAATCCTTATTTTTAGACATGTAGAGCCTAAATTTTAGTGTAATAAATCAAAAGAATATTTTCTTTAGAGTAAAATTGCTAATAGTGCCATCTACTTCATTTTATATGTAAAGTCATTTTATCGAACAAAAATTAATTGACTCTCAACATGGTGCCTACGTAAAATAGACTCTAAGTAGTTGGCCTAAACGCGACTAATTGAATATAAATCGGTAAGTTATGAAATCGTGGATGATTGTAAATGGATGAGATATGATTCTTTCTCATTCTTTTGAAGTCTAAATTCTATAGATGTATATGTTCTCTTTTTAGTGTCTCTTTTTCATTTCATCGAGTTTCAAATTACAACGAATCTAAACTGATGTTTTTACTTTAATATATGTATAGTGTAGTAAATTAGTGTCGCGAACTTTCAAGTGACATCTCAGAACTAGTGTTAACTTATGTTAAAATTATGCAAAAAAATTAAAATTCAGCAGCATTAGACTGCTATTTCGTGTAATTATTCGGTGAGAGCGTTCCATATACCGGTCAAGCCGATCCATTCATGTCGTAGCTAGTCTAAGCTACAACTTACGACCACGTTAGAGATAGATATATGAACTATCATCTGAGAGCTCTCTCTCTCTCTCTCTCTCTCTCTCTCTCTCTCTCTCTCTCTCTCTCTCTCTCTCTCTCAATGTAACGCATTAGCAAATTGAGAAGATTTTTTGTAAACAAAATATAAATGAAGACTGTATGGTCTAAGATCATTAGCTATCTAATGGGTAACAACAATCACACTCCATGGTATTGTGCAGTACTGCCAAAAAGTTACATTTCTTACATTTTAGGTAACTTTAAGTCAACCCATGTAATTTGCAGTTAAGAAATAGACTCTCATAAATATTCCAAAAGTGTGTGCATTAAACATTAATGCGTGAAAACTTTTATAATATAAGTTTACTCCGCTTTGCTTCTATTAATTATAATTACAAAAAATTCTAATAAAAGAACACAATTTCAACCGGTTTGGTCAAACAAATCACCAAACACCTGTTATTTACAGTACCTGTTATTAACCTGTTATTTAATATTTATGGTAGACCAAATCAGAAATGATCACTTCGTAACTTTAGATTTCAAAATTTAATTTTACAGATATATTAACGCATAGATTTAGTATAAACTCCAATCTACTAGAGTTTATACTAAATCTATGCGCTAACGTAACTTTCAGTCAAGCCATACTGGCAACACTGGTATTTTGTTGATCCTAAATGGTCAAAAAAGTTAAAATTCGCTTTCATTTATGAGAACTATTTACTAAATGCGTGCTTTTTAAATAAATAGCAAACTTTAATGATGAATCAAATACGTTTCATACAGTGCCTTAATAACCAGTGCAATCATTTAATATTAAACTAATGCAAAACTTCGTATACGGATTTTATTTGTTTTCATTATGACGAAGCGCCGAAGAATAGTCCAAGCTGACAAAATTATTCAAAATGTTGTTCATGTGTTTTGTTTGTTAATGTTTTTGCAATTAAAAGGTATATTGAACTAAAAAAAATCTATACTCTTTTATGACTTACCAACTGAACATGTTTCTTATTTTATTTCAGGTTACTATTCAGTAGCTAATAATCCTGTTTTGTTATATTCTACCGCAACAGACATAAGAATTTTAAATTCATCGAAACCCGGTAAAGTTAACTTAATAATTAAAGGCTTAGAACAGGGCTCTGCTGTTGATTTTTTGTATGTGAAAAATTTAATATGTTGGTCCGATCAAACTGCAGAATTGATACAATGTATGAATTATAATGAAACATTTTCGGGTGAAAAAGTAAGTATATAAATATTTATTTAAAATAAGAATAGTTTAGAACATTAAGTCCACTAACACATATTAGGTCTCGGTCAACTGTATATTTTTTTATAATTTTACTTAATAGTATAAGATTTTTGTAATATTGCTTCACCCTTAGAGACCATGGGGGAAGTCTGTGTTCAGTAATGGACTTGTAGTTGTTGTAGTAGCCCACTGGCTGTTAAATCATAAATTTTATAGATGATGATGGTGATGATGATAAACATTCAGCCAATATTACTCTGTGTTTAAAGAGGGTATTATAAGTTTGACCTCTATGTGTGTCTGTATGTGGCATCGTAACTCTAACTGCTCAACAGTCAAAACATCCATCCCGGCTATATGTCAAATATCTATTGTCAATTACTGTCATCCATTGTGGCGATTCAATTACCACTATTTTCCACCATTTTTTTTAAATACTTTAATTACTTAGATGTTTCTTACCCTACAAAAAAAACTAATTTGAATAATATTTAAAATACAAAATACTGATAGCTGCAAACCATACTTTGTCAAACATAAAATACTCACATAGCCATGCATATATATCTTGGAAATCTACAAATTCATTAAAACATACCTAGAATTTTATATCAAATGAGAAGAAAGCAATACCAGATACTAATTACGCCATAAAGAAAAACTGACTATACCCATATCTCGCCTTAAACTACATTCATTAGGTCCCTTCGTCATTTCTATCAAAACTTTTAACAAACTCCCAAACTCGATAGAAAAACACACTAATTTTATAAATAAACTAAAGAAGTTTTTAATTTGTAAACACTACTACACACTAAATGAATACCTAATTGATAAATTTTAAATACCTACCTAGAATACCTAAAATTGCTATAATTAAAGTGTATTCATCATCATTATTGTTTTATTATAATGGCCCTCCTCTCTCCTAATTGTGGTGCCCTGCAGGGACCATAATGATCTCATAGTTTTAAGTTAAAACTTGCAATGTTCTCAACACCTTAACTGTAACATTATGGATGCAATAAATAATATGAATATGAATACTATTATACATTGTTTTTAGCACTAATGTTCCGTAGTCAGCGTTATCCTTTGTGTACAGAGCCTATTAGCACTAATGTTTTAATAATATATAAATTTGGATGACAAAACATGTTTATTATATTTTATTGTATAAACCGTAACATTATACCCTTAAATTTAAAGAAACCACAAAATTAAGTAAATTACTTCTCCTGGGCAGTAAATGCAAGCCATTGTTGTTGTGACATATTAGACATGACACCATTAGAAAGATACTGTTAGGGGGTTAACGGATGAACCGATTTGTGTGCTTTTTTAAATTTAAAAGTAGCAGTTCTAGCTTTTGTTTTTAGACATGTATCAAAATCGGTTCAGCTGTTTGAACATCATCAGCTTTTTTTGCTTTGGGGGTTTTTATAATTTTCAATTTATTTCTAAACAAGTGGTAAAATAATAAATGATTATAGTGTTACCTTTACAGCCTAATGGATTCTACTGCTTAACATAGGTCTCCCCTTATAGATTGCTGCATAGGGGGTATTTGCCATAGTTGTCATGCTTGGCAAGCCGGTTGGCAACTGCAGTTTATTTTATTTTTAGTTGTTGTTAGAAAGATGCTGCTGCCCATCTCCTAATTGTTTTCCCTCTTTTGCTTCTTTATAACACTCACATTATGATATGGGTTGTGGGTATTCTTACACCGCCACTATGCAGTAAAAAAATTGTATTGATTCTTATATATTTCACAGGAAAGAATTGTATCAGAAGGATTGATCACACCAACCGGTATTGCAATAGATTGGTACACAGATAAAATATATTGGACAGATGGTGAAACTAACAGAATAGAAGTTATTAGCATAAATCAGAAATATAGAAAAGTACTATTTTGGTCTGAAGTTGATTTAGCTAGAGCAATTGCTGTTGTTCCAAAACAGGGGTAAGCATTGTTTTAACATAGATTCTGATACATAAATAAAAACATAGTGTAAAATTTCTTAGTAAGTGATTGTTTGTTTTCATCTGTACATATAAATAAAGTTGAAGAGTCTATCTGTTATCAAAGTAATTGCCTTCTGTTGAGCTTAAGGGAGTATTTGCACAATATTAAGACATAAATAAACCCTTTGTAAGTTTGTCTCTGTTGGAGCTAACCTTTGCAATGGCTGAACGGATCATAAAGAGATTGAGTGAGCTAGGCTTTATTTTATTTTACAAAAATGGAGGATATGTTTTGTGAATTCATAAAAACTAATAAAATTAATGGTTTTTGACGATTATCTCATAAACTACAGGAGAAATAATTTTTGTATATTAACTGGTTAATAAGAAATAAAAAAGTTTCAAACAATTTTTTTTTGAAAAGACTGATTTCGTCTTCTTACTTTTTGTAACTGATAATCTATTGCCAATAATTCTCACAAAATGAGAACATTATCAAATTTTCTTGCAGATTAATGTTTTGGACTGACTGGGGTGAGATACCTAAAATAGAACGAGCAGGTATGAATGGGGATCCATCCTCTCGTAAAGTTATTGTTAAAGACAATATATTTTGGCCCAATGGGATCACAGTAGATTACAACAATAATGTAATATATTGGGCAGATGCAAAGTTACAGTTTGTAGATATGATAGATTTCAATGGTGAAAACAGAAACAGAATTGTGAAAGGAGGATTGGAATATCCATATGCACTTACATTTTTCAATGATAAACTTTATTGGACTGATTGGAAAACTTGGTGAGAATGCATTCTTTTTTTTAATTTTGAATTACCTATCACCCCACTTCATACTTTTGGTCTGCATAAGCATAGGTCAGCTTGACTCGGGTAATACCACACTCTCAAAACATACATAAAATAGCAGCTTAATGATGCTGTGTTTCGTATGGTAAGTGTAGAAAACCGGAGACTCAGACTCAGGGATGAAAACGCATCTTAATTTTTTTTAATTAAAGGTAAATATAGATGTCTTTGGGCCACAGCATCCACTTACCATTAGGTGGACTGTGTGCTCCTTTTTTTGATGTTGGCTATGCTATAAAAATCTTATGGCTTCTGTTATCTATATTATGGATACCATAATATTTATTGCAATTTTACAAAGCGTAAGTTCGGCCATACATGGAATACTGTTCTCATCTCTGGGCCGGCGCACTCCGGTGCAAGCTCCCTCCACTTGACCACATCCAGCTTAGAGCCATTCAAATCGTCGACGACCGAGTTCTTTCTGATAGGCTCGATTCACTGGCTCTGCGTAGAGGGATGTCTTCCCTTTACATTCTCTATCGTTTCTACCATGGGGAGTGTTCTGAGGAATTGTTCAGATTAGTTCCAGCTGTCAAATTAAACGAACACACATCGCGACAAAACTCCCGATACCATCCTCACCATCTAGATGTTTGGCGGTCCACTACTGTACGTTTTACTAGTATTTCTTGCAGATCGGAGCATCAAGGTCGTTGTAGACGGTGCAAGCTCCGATTGCAAGCCTATTAATGCTGGTGTTCCACAAGGGTGCGTGCTATCGCCAACGCTGTTTCTTCTGCATATTGTAACGCTCTCCCCCCCCTCTCTAATATCTAAATATGTATGATATTGAATGTAATTAGTTCCCCTTTATAATAAAATTATATATGTGTGACCAGGATAAATAAGATATGTTTTGATCTTTCTAAATGATCTTTCAAAAGGTTTAATAATAGGCCGTTTGTAATATTTTGGCGTGATCGTCTTAGTTAGGACCCTTATTTACGTTGTGTTTGTTTAGTAACTTAGTTCTTTTAGGTGTCTTTTGGAAGAATGAATATTTACTAGAGTAATTGAAAGCTGTTGGTAGTGCCTTATAAACTAAGTGAACCCCGTTCACGAAGACAGGGCTCGAGAAAGGTTAAGAACATAAAACGTCCCTATTCCACTTGTATCAGGTTTACATTATAAATTTATTATTAATTATCCCTTCCCGCTCGGAAAAGGCTCAAAATATATTTATACAAAATACCCGATACAAGGGCTTCGCTCTCCTACATTCATTTAAAAAATGTAGGGGAGGCACACGGCTCCACACACGCCGTGCGCGGTGAGCGCCAACCATTTTGATGCACTCCCCCCGAAGGGAACATTAATTCGGGAACTGGACCGTAGTCCACAGCAAAATAACTGGCGAACCAGTAAAAGGGGCTTTGCCCCTTGTAAGTGCGTAAGCACAAACATCGACCCAAGTCGCGCATGTCAATGCGTGTAAACGCCATACAGAATACGAACGAATCCAGCCACAGTGAATGTACGTCACACGGTTTAGGCAAATAGGCACACTGTCCGTAAACCCTCCGTGAGCGCCACCACCTGCCCAACCGCCGCTCCTGCAGACGTGATGTAAGTGTATGGCATCACCACTAATTGTATGATCAGCACGCCTTCTAGCCGCAGAGCGTGCCATGAGTCTACCGCTCACCTCAAGGGAATGGGGTCCCACGTTGTGCGGCTTTCGGCCGCAGCCTTGAGAGTCTCCTCAGATCCTCCCGCCAGCTACCACCCGCATGAGGTCGACACGTATGCTCCACCAACCAATACAACGGCAGATATAGCCAAAAGGCAGTTATAAGATAAGAGTAATAATTCGCCATCAGAAAGGGTTTGTGTCACTGACGTTGAGTAAAAGCATTTTCGATCATGTCTGCCTCACCCACCAACAAGCTGCTTTCAATCATTCAAAGGTGGGAAAGTTACAGAGATATATTATTATGTTGATATATAAAACATCATGGAGGGCAGACAGTCTGCAGTCCCGTAATGAAGGGACCCGACTTGGGCAAAGCTACTTAGGTATGAGTCAAACCAAGACGCAGAGAGCGCTATTGAGAATAGCTTCCAACCAAACAACCATCGCAGAGACGCAAAATGCTGCAGAACGCAACAAGCATCAATACGACTATCGTCGGGCTTACACCATCCCAAGGTCCCCCATACATCCCAGCAGACATCACCACCCGCATACCTCCATCGACCAGAACCACAAGAATGCGTCGAATCAGGCGCAGTACACCCGCAGATCCATCACAAGACGCAATACCGCAAGTAGCAGTAAGCATCAATGCAACTATCATACGGATGGCGCCCCCTCACAACACACCCACATGATCCCTATCGACTTTGGTAAGAGTTTTAATTGTTGTTAACTTAAAACAACACCAACGTATCATAGTACCACGCAACTAAAACGCCAGTCGACAAAACTCTACGTATCATAGCGCAATGCACTAAGACGTGAAGTTGAGTATGCCTGTTACGCTTAAAAGTGCTACCAAACACAGTCATCCCAATCCGAAAGACAGACGACGCATCGCTATGCGCTACGACGCCGCCCACAAACGGTATGGGTGTGCGATGTCCTCGAGAAAGCTGTATTGCTACAACAAACCCGCTTACCACCGGCACTAAGATGATATGTCTAGGACACATCGGTTAGCGAGCCCAAGTTTACCTCGGACCAATTGCTCGTGAAGCAGCATACCCGCCACCATAGTATTCCTTTTAAAGACCCTAATAAGGACTAGTCATTTTGCTACAGTACTAGGAGCAGTCGGTCACCCGACCACTACATATAATGCTTATGTATCAAGGAGACCTTCTATAATATTGCTTTTGTATCATAGACCTTACTTTCATAAATCATTAATATGTAGGTTACAGGTTTTTGTAATTATAAAGGACTTTGTATGTAGTGTCTCGAACTCACGACCCTACTATTGTAATGCATATTCATCATAGAGACCTGCTATAGTATTGCTTTTGTATCATAGACCTTACTTTCATAAGTCATTAATATATAGGGCTTCGAACCCACGACCCCACTATTGTAATGGAAATTCATCATAGAGACCTTCTATAGTATTGCTTTTGTATCATTGAGTTTAATATCATAAGTCCCTAATATAGGACTAGTCATTGTGCTACAGTACTTCAAGCAGTCGGGCTCCCGACCACCCCATATATTATTTGTACAACTGCAGGTATGTATCTCCGGCAGCTCCTCCATACAAGACATCTATACATGAACACGTTCCATAACTTAGGATAATTTTCTTTTATACATGAACTCCTTCCATGACTTTCCAATTTTTAACAAATTTTATAATTATCTCATAAATATTATTTATCTTTACTTTTATAATATTTTCGACTTGAATTTCTATTATTCATATTTTAAATATTTTTACAAGTTTTTAAATAAATTTATTTATTTTGAAAGACAATATTTTGCCTTTAATTTACTATGTTATTTGTCTAATGTCTGAAATGTGTTTATATTAACTTTATGCTTATTATTGTAATAATTTGCTTAATATATATATTTTAAGACTATTTTTGATGCCCCTTTATATTGAATTTAATTATTAATAATAATATTGGGCCGTCACAATATCAATGATACGTTGCAAACCCGTAACATTCATTGCTATGCAGATGACAGCACTGGTGATGCTCTTTACACCGGCCGAGCCAATATTTCTCGAGAAAACGTCTCCGAGTGCCGGGACAAACTTGTGTCTGAAGTCGAGTCTTTGCTGAACAGAGTCTCGGATTGGGGGCGACTAAATCTAGTCCAGTTTAACCCCCAGAAGACACAAATTTGCGCGTTAACCGCTAAAAAGAACCCCTTTGTCGTATCTCCTCAGTTTCAAGGCACTCCCCTTGTTGCCTCAGCCAGTATCTTTTTTCACCCCCCTTCGAAAGGGGTTTTTTTTGTTGGTGTTTTTTTTTTTTAGGTGTGGCTTTGTGAACGACTACGCGACAAACGTCCCGATACCATTCACACCATCTGGATGCTTGGCGGTCCACCACTGTACGTTTCAAAAGGAGTTTTCTTCCGCGTACAACCTCTCTGTGGAATAGTTTACCACCGGCGATTTTTCCGGACCGATACGACCTAGGGACCTTCAAGAAAAGAGCTTACTCCTTTCTAAAGGGCCGGTGACGCACCTGCAATTTCCCTGGTGTTGCGGTTGATCATGGGCGGCGGTAGTCACTTAACATCAGGTGAGCCGCATGCTCGTTTGCCCCCTCTTCTATAAAAAAAAATAACATAATGTATTTAAATAATGCTGCTTAACACTACTTTCGAAGTTTCCTTTTTTTATACATAGAATAAGGATGATGAACAAACACACGGTCCACCTGTTGGTAAGTGAATACTGTGGCTCAAGACATGTACAATGTACATCTATCCTCAGTTAAGAATCAAAATGCAGATGCTTTGTCACCCCTGAAGACTAAGATGGAATGCCTCTTTTCCATTAAAAAAGGGTCTCCGGTTCTCTAAACTTACCATACGAAACACAGCAGCATTAAGCTGCTATTTTCACTGGTATTCTGTGAGAGAGTGGTCATTCCCAGTCAAGCCAACCCATTCATGCTACAACCACAATTTTTTAAGCGTTACTTACACATTAGGATTCTCTCCTGTATCGCGGAAGCAGTTTATAAACATTAATAGCACAAGGATAAACATCCAGACCCGGAACAATTCTTTGTAGGCCATCCAAATACTTGTTCCGCGGCAACTTGCGCAGCAACCCATTGCTAAGCCACTGCACCACGGAGTCGTCATATAATACAATATAGCTATAGCATAGGTCTGCCAAATAAAACTTCGTTCTTACAATTATATTTCCCACCTATCTCATGGGGGGTTTCGCGTTTTTCGGGCGGGCCGTGGGGTGGGGCGAGGGGGGGGGGGGGGGGGGCCTTGCGTTTTTGGCCTTGTTCGGTTGTTCCTGCTGCATGCTTTGAGTTGTCAGTATTATTACATCAGCATGCCTTCCACAAACTTGTAAATGCTTAGATATACTTTTCCCTTATATTGAACATTTGAATTGTATTAACTTCGATAATATAAAACATCTAAATTTATTAATTAATTGATATTTATGGTATCATTTATATTTCTAGGACAATTTACACTTGGGATATTTCCACAAATGGCCCCATAAAGGAAGTCATAAAATCTGACCCAGTACCAGTTGATATCAAAGTGTTTGATGATAATCGACAGTTAATGCCTACAGGAGATTATCCATGTAAATATAACAATGGGGGGTGCTCTCATCTCTGCCTTTTGTCTCCTTCTCCACCAGGTATATAATAATAATAAATTGTTTATATTTATCTTCTCGACAGCAAGTTCTGAATATCTTGTGGTAAGTTATATACAAATTGAAAAAGATATTCTTGCTTTCAAATAAATGACTACATGCCAGTGATATCACTATATCCCACTGAGTGGTGATTGTGTATTGCATAGTGCTGGTGTAAGAATATCAACAAACCCATATAGTCCCGTGGGGGTCTTAAGAGGCGACGAAGGGAAATAAACCAGGATATAGGCAGCAACGCTTTCCTAAAAACGAGAAAATAAAAAAACTGCGGTTGCCAATTGTGCCAACCATGACAAATATTCTCCTTATGAGTTGATCTATACCGTGATATAACATCGTCACTGTAAAACCAATACTACTTAAACGCTAAAAAAGCATTTTACAGTAGAGCTATTTTAAGTTTTTTTTACTAACCCGGGCTTAACTTTTTTTCTAATTAAGAAATTGATATACAATGAAAGCAAAAAAAAATCGTGAACCTATTATCTACGTACTGGAATCGAAATGTTCTGCATATCTTAATATATATAAATTACGTTTCACGTTGTTTGTCCGCGATAGACTCCTAAACTACTTAACCGTTTTTTTTTTAAAAAGAATATTAACAATGCTATAAACATCACTAATATTCCCCTTAACCACTCGTGGTAAGCTTAAAATTGCTTGTGTTACGAGTGGTTCACGCCAGTAGTCGAATGGTGGATTCGAACCCACGACCTTTTTGAGTTCGCGGTCCGCGCCCTGCCATTAGGCTACTGTCGCATTATTGTCGATTTTAGTCAAATTTTCACGCCGTGTGCAGTTTAGTCCAACTTGAGAGATATTTTTTTGCTAATTTAAGGATTTTTAATAGGACATGACAAAGGGTCATCGAATAAGGCAGAACAACGTCTGCTTGGCAAGCCACTTGTAATACATAAGATAGCTGTTACTTTAGTACATTTGCTCTGTACACTTCGTAAGGAGAAACTACTTATTTCCATAATATTTTTATTAAAATACTAACAACTAATGTCCTTACCAATGAATGAAAGGAAAAAGTACTAACACGCATTACGGGTTGATAACAGTCTCAGAATTATAGTACTTAAACATTATAACATGTCACAGGACCGTATGGAAAAGTGATGTATATATAGTATTAAAAGTTGGTGCCATTGTCAAAGACATGTAAAAGACATATTATGATATAAAATTAAATATTTTTTTCTTATCGAGCATAGGCAGTACCTACTTGTGCTAAGAATTGTACTAGCAGCAAACAAAATAAATAAGAATACTACAATTCCTATTTCGAGTTATCATCATTACAGCCCTTCACAAGTCCACTGCTGAACATAGGGACCATAGTCCCCCAAGTAATGCCACAAAGCACGGTCCTGACCCACCTGCATCCATCGACTTCCTGCATGTCTTACCAGGTCGTCACTCCATCTAGTGGGGGGGTCTCCATACACTAGGCCTAGCGGTACGAGGCTGCCACTCGAGAACCTTTTTCCCATATCGGTTATCGGTTCTTCGAGCTATATTGTCGGCCCATTGCCACTTCGGCTTACTAATCCGTTGAGCGTTGGGGTTATGTCGGTCACTCTGGTTCTACTGCGGATATCCTCAGTTCTAAGTTTATCACGCAGAGAAACCCCGAGCATAGCCCTCTCCATAGCTTGCTGAGCGACCTTGAGCCTCCTCATACGGCCAGCAGTGAAGGACCATGTCTCAGATCCGTAAGTCATCACTGGCAACACGCACTGGTTGGTACAATTTCGAGTTATATGTAATCTTTTACTGTATTGGTTGAAGAAGGAAAAAATAAAATAAATACAGCTTACTTAGTAATCACTTTTGAAAAATAATTATAAAAAATTGACATAACAGTTTTAAAAATTGGTTATGTGTAGCAAACATGTGACAAAAGTCACGAAACACAATTTTATAATTAATCTACAATAATAATTATGTATTGTAGATCTTTGGCGCAATCAATAAATTAAATGCTTGTTTGAATTTTATTGAAAGTAAAACACTCTAAATAGACACTTAGATACACAAATACTTAGATATGTAAAACAAAAAGTTACTAAAACCGTTCCCTCGAAGGAAACTGCGAAGACAAAATATACTAACGCGTCATGCTCATCAATTTTTCTATATAAAGCAAATTTACTTATTTACGTATAATCTTATGCTAAATGCCACACTTTTGCAGTACTTAAGTGCCAAAAAAGCGCTCAGATCATCAAGAAATACAGACTAATCGACGCAGAAGAAAAAATTCAATCCAAGGATATATATTATAACTCATTTTGGCCAAAATGGCACTTAAGTAGTATTAGCTTTCCAGTGACGATATCATAGATAGTATAAAAAACTATATTGTCATCTATTAATAGATGCATACCCTTTAGCAATAGAGAAGTGCTTGTAAAGTTTCATCAATCTTTCATTTAAATTATTTTTGTTGTAGGCTATGTTTGTGCCTGCCCAACTGGTGTAAAGTTAAAGGAAGGCAGCAACACAACATGTTACAAAATGCCACAGTCCCTGTTGTTGATTGCCCAGCGCTCCATCATATCGAAGATCTCTTTAGACTCTCCTGACTTCACACCCTACACAGTGCCTTTAAAGGATCTCAAAAGAGCTCTGACTGTAGATTTTGATCCTAAGACTGAATTTATGTATTGGGCTGATAGCTTGGTAAGTATTGCTTAGCCCCATATTCAATGTGTAACAGAAATAATACTATCCCACGGACACCCAATCAGAATAAGTTGTAACTATAATAATGTATCTCAATTCATGATTTTAAATGAGTTTTAATATTGTTTTATTTAATAAATTAGGTAGTTATTACCACTGAAAAGTACACACTAATATTATATATAATTTTGTTGTTCCATGCTTGTGTAAATATAGGCACTAAAACTATAATTTGAAGATTTTATTACTTCGATTTTAGGCTCCTATTTCTCGTACTTGTCAACTTAATTTAGGATTATTTTTTAAAATATTATACCTAATATTTAAAATGGCGAAAATCGATTTAGTTACTTATTCTGAACAAACTACTATTTATCATAGTTATAATAGAAATAGTAATAGTGAAGCCACAAAGGTTTTAGGGTGGGTTCTATGTTTTCTAAACATGTTTACTCAGTAGCCAATTATTATTACGATAAAATATAATAGTTTGTTTAGAATTAACCCTAAAATCATATCAAATGAATAATGCTGAATAATCAATTGGTAACAAAAAGATCACTGTTGATCCTAGTAAATGCCAAGCTATAGTCTTTATTAGCACTACCTGTGCACTTCAATTAAGTAAACTTAGTCACACAGCATTCTAACCCTAGTGGATCTATCCACTAGCGAGGTAATTCTATACAGCACTCATGTTAAGGAGTTAATATTAACCTAAGACTATTCTCTTACTTAGCACAATCAAGTTGAAGAAAAGTTTGTGCTACTTTGTTAAAAAAATTTCAATCCCTTATTCTTCATATGTTTGTTTGTGCTGATGTGTGTTGGTTAGACGCAAATAATCACTTAGTCAATAAATTGGGTTCCTTTTCAGTCTTCAAAAGTAGGAACATGTCTCATACTATCGCTCTCAACTTAAATGGTTGAATATCCTATAATGCAGGCATTTTAGAACTCTTTTCACTATCCTTAACAATCTATTGACCCCTGGGTCCTTCCCATAATGGTCGATTTACACTTCGACAAGTTCCTATATTTTTTTATAGTAACCTGGCGAGTTAAGTAGAAAATCTCGTTTGAACGACAATTAGTGAATTCAGTAGCAAATTAACGATCAATTTGAACGGGATATCTATTTTTTGGCGAGTTAAGTTCGAAGTGTTCTCTCCGCGCATCTCCCATCTCCAATTAAAATCGCAGCTCATGTGAACGAGTGAGTTCAATGCATAAATTAACAGGATGCAACGTGTTCGCGTTTGACCCTCAAACTACAAAATTGTAATTTTTTAAACTAAACTCGCCACAAAGACAATTGAACGCTTCTGTCAACTGTCCTGTAGCTTAACTCGCTACTGTACTTGTCGAAGTGTAAATCGGCTATAATTGCAATCTTCGGTCTCATGACAATCCCGTACTGCAAATACCCTCTCCCTGTACTGGCTTTCTCTCAAACTTCTTCGCTGTTACAGCTGTACGGCTCCAGAATGTGTTGTGTGTGTGAATTTTAAGTATTTTATTATTATTACATGTTTAACTCTAGCCCTCTCCAGAAAACACTTTCCCACTAACCTCCCGGTTAGCTGATTGAAAATGCCATATAATATTATCGTTAAGTCCGCCATTTGTACATTTACTACACAATAGTGTTAAATAAAAAATAAATTGCGTGTAATTGTGTATACGTGTACGATGTAAAACTTCTTTACATGTCATCATTTATTTTATATTTTACATAAGTGGGTTAAATAATAGTATACTCATACAGCTCCGGCGGTGAAACGTTACAAGAAAACGTGACGTTGTTGATTTTTTATACCATAATATCTCTACTACTTAGATGAAGTAGTGTCACTTCAATAAATAAGAACTAGGTGTCTCCAACTCCACAAGAGAAAAAAATCTAATAAGGAAAACAATGTTGGCTATGACCGTGGGCATGATTATAATTTCCTATTATTCAAAAATTGTCGTAGTCTGCAATCGGCCTAAGAATTGCGTGAATACTGATCCATATTGTGTTACACAATATTTTTCTCATCAACAGTCCAAAACAATATCACGGGCGCGTCTCGATGGAAGCGAGCAATCTGTAGTGATACACAGTAGCGGTGTTCCGGATAGCATAGCCATCGATCCGCTGGCCAGAAACATCTACTGGACCGACCCTGTCACTGACACCATCAGTGTCGCCAGACTTAATGGAAGCTGTAAAAAGGTAAGAATTTGTAACAAAATTCTTGTTTAATATATACATACCGAAACGAGTCGTAAGCATGAATTAACGGTAGTGGGGGTAGCTTTGCGGCATGCACACTTCCCGACAATTGCAACCAATCAAATGAATGACCTGAGGGACCAATCATGAAAAGAAATGTTCATCGTCACTGCTCCACGTTCTTTTAATTTTTTGTTGAACATAGAGATCTGTAATTTGACTATTGCCAGGCCAGGCGTACTCTGCATTTTAGAGACAAAGCTACAAGTAAATATATATTATCGTTTAAAAATCTTCCATTAACAAGCCGCATTATCCAATAACGTCTTGAAGACAGTTTTCTGACTTGTACGATCGTCGGTACATGATCCATAGCTGTATGATTCATATGCTAATGAGTTACCGCTGCCTTAGGTTAAGTAGACCAGTTTTACGAACAAATAGTTGTATTTTCTATGTGGAAGGACTCTATATCGAATTGGGTCTATGCCACCCTCGTACCTACTTCTGCCACCAAATATCACTGCTTGAGAGCTTATTTCAGTTTAAAGGGTGTAGAAAGCCAGACTGAGGTATTCCATCTCCAGTGCTCCAAAGTGACTACTTATCTGTAGCCTTCTTTGATTGAAGGTGGCCACAAGAGTCCGTGGGTCGTAATAGGGACTTACCGTCAGGTGGACTGTTGAGACCGTAAGTTTGTTTATAGTTCAGTTTTATAAAACAAAAAGTGTTATTTATATATGTATAATGTTCAGGACCCTCGATGATCGAAATAAAATATTTGTATTTATTTATCTATTGTACACAGGTTGTTATTCACGACGAGCTTTACGATCCCCGAGCCATAGCTCTACACCCTACTGCCGGTTGGATGTTCTGGTCGGATTGGAATGAGAAGAAACCGAAAATTGAACGCGCAAACTTAGACGGATCTGGGAGGTTATTATTAGTGTCGGAAAAATTGACATGGCCTAACGGGATCGCCTTGGATACTGTCAATAATAAGTTGTATTGGGGAGATGCTAGAACACACAAAATTGAGGTAAGGTTTATATATATATATATATATATATACTACTTTTACAGCTATAATCTGAGTCCGTTATCGGCAAAATGAGTGCTGGATAATATTACCAAATCCCGTTAAAAATAACCTTAATTAATGTTAGCTCTACTCAACAAACTCTGTCCCAAAAAACAGATGCCATAACCTTTCCCGCCGAACCTGAAACTTAGAATTTCTTTTGGCGTCGGTGAGGAGGCTCGCTTCCAAGTCATCGGTTGTTGTTTCGTTTCAGGATCAAAATGGTGGACCCAGGTCTCGTCCATAGTCACAAAACGGAACAAAAAAATTTCTTGATCTGTTTGGAACTTTTCGAGATTGACCCTCGAAATGTCAACTCGATTTTTCTTTTGCTCGTCGGTTAACATTCTGGGTACCCAACGCGCAGAGACCTTTTTCATATGCAACTCGTTCGCAAGGATTCTTTGAACGCTGCCATATGAGATCCCTGTGACCTCAGCTACATGCCTGATGGTCATTCTTCGATCTGCCAACACAATATCTTCGACTTTTTTCACGTTGTCTTTAGTGAGGGACGTGGATGGGCGTCCTTCGCGATGTTCATCTTCAGTGGATTTTCTGCCCAGTTTGAACTCCTTGGCCCAGCGTGCAACTGTAGAATATGGAGGAGCAGAGTCCCCCAATGTTTTTACTAAGTCACTTTGTGTGTCTTTTTAAGACATTTTTTCAAACAGAGGTATTTGATGACAGCTCTAATTTCGTTTTTCTCCATGTTGATGTTATCTCTTTGACAGTTCGTATTCAAATGAATGTAACTCCCGGAAATCGTGATCGATTTATATGATTTTTTAGGCTGACGTAGTGAGTATATAAGCAAGCAAAAAATATTTTTTTTGGATTTTTATGCGGACTTGAAGTAACCGATTATCATTACTTTTGTATCACCCCTCGTAGTTCGCCATTCTTTTTTTGTGGACTGTTATAGTGTGTGGAGCTTAATCAAAAATGTGAAATAAGTTTTCTGTTTTTATACGTTATTTCTAATGTTATTGTACATCAAATTAATTGTGAAGATATTTCCTTTAGGAAATATGTATCATTACGACAGTTCTAAAATGTTTACATATAATAATTTAGCTCGAAATTTTAATCACTATACGCGATCTTCGTTTTTTATTATACCTTGTTTAAAATGTATTCTAATCGGTTTTTTTGTTAAATAAATGCTAAATATAAAATAATGCTTCACTATTAACACGATTTTGAAACTATTCTAACTATTCACTATTAACACATTTATGAAAGAAATATGTTGAGATGTGTCTAGAAATTATTAAAATGCAACTCATGCAATTCGTGATTGGGTTGGGGAGTGAATATCTATATTGAGTAAATGTTATATATTTATCTATACTGAGTAAATAATATTGAGATATTGCTGTTATTTTAAAGGGTTATGTACTATTATAATATAAAATAATTGTCTCCTGTAACTATTCTTAGCTGTGTCGGTACCATTGAAATTAATAGTTACATTTTTAGATTTGATTTAACACATACTCGTTGTCGTAGTAATTATAAGTAATTACGTCATTTTGCAAGCAAAAAAGTCAAGTTGCGCAACAGCTGCGGCGTACTCTTATTTAGATTTACCACTAACACGTTATCTGATTATGATTAAGGGGGGATAAGTCGCTCGCGTCCGTAGGGGGGGATAAGTCGCTCGCGTCCGTAGGCTTCGACCACCTAATCCTAGGCCCACCCTACACGTTTCCCCCCGGGTGGTGCTAAAAGAGCGACAAAGCCGAAAGAACAGACTCGGCTACTCGCCGTGTGGTAGCGGCGTAAAATATGCCACGCCCTATTTTTCGCACCATGAGGCAATAGTAAAAGAAATGGCCCCGAGTTCCCGGCGCCCCTTTAATAGGGTAGGGGTGCGAAGAATCTCCGGGAGGAAAACCGGCGACGAGGTTCGCCACCCGTCACGTTCTGTCTCCCAGAGAGGCGAAAAGTGGATTGCAGAGGCCCGTCTGGCTACGTTGAATGTATGTGGGGCAATGAATGATAAAATGGATGAAGTATGCGATATGATGTATGATAGAGGAATAGATGTATTATGTGTAAATGAGACGAAAAGGAAGGGGAAGGATGTCACTGCACATGGCATGTATACCGCATACTGGTCTGGTGTAGACGAGATCGAGCGGGCATGCCAGGGAGTAGGTATCATCCTTTCAGAAAGAATGGGCCAATGTGTGAAAGAGTATGAATGTGTAAGCCCAAGACTGCTATGGATACGAATGAAAGTGGGCTTAAAGAAGTTGTTTGTGTTAGGGGTCTACGCCCCAGACTTGTCTAAGCCCACTTATATCCGGGAGCAGTTTTGGGAAATGGTAAGGATGGTGTTAATGAAGTGTAAGGGAAATGAAAATATTATTATGCTAGGAGATTTTAATGGAAGGGTTGGGGTGAGGAGGCTTGGTTATGATAGGGTATTGGGAACGTTTGGTGATAAAAGTATAAATGAGAATGGTGAAAGCCTCCTCACCGTATGTGTGGAAAGGAATCTTTTTGTGACGAACACTTTCTTTCGTCATAAGAAGATTCACATGTATACTTGGGAAAGAGGTGATGATAGAAGCATGATAGATTTCATAACCGTGGATGAAAGAATGAGGAGCGCAGTGGTGGATACAAGGGTTTACCGGGGGTCCAACGTAGGGACGGACCACTACCTGGTCTTATGCCGAATTAGGGGTTTATTCAGACGTTGGCGGCATAGGACATCTGTGTCTACCACTGCGTTACAGCGTATAAGAATTGAGAGGTTACAAGATGAAGATGTGAAAGACAAGTACAAATGCAGACTGAGAGAAAATATAAGTAATTTGGATGAGTTGTGTGTGAATGAGTTAGACTTGGAGAATGTGTGGCATAATGTTAAGAAAGGTTTAGTGGATGCAGCTACCGAAGTATGTGGTGTTAGTAAGAGAACGAATGAAAGGAAAGACAATACGTTATGGTGGGATGATGAGGTACGTATGGAAGTTGAAGCAAAGAAGAGAGCATGGCTAGATTTACAAGCGACCAAAGCTGGTAATTCTGGCGGTAAGAATGATGAGAATGAAAGAAAAAGGCTGAGTTTAAACGTTTAAATAAGAGAGTAAAAGAATTAGTTGAAAGGAAAAAGCAAGAAAGAACGGATAGGAATGATAGAAGAATATCGGATAACTTCCAGGCAAATATTAAAATGTTCTGGAAACTCGTAAGAAATACCAGGGGACTTTCAAAACAGCCTAGATTGAATGCGATACGAGACGAGAATGGCTGTATCCTGAATGATGAAGTGTTGAGTCTAAAGAGATGGAAGGAATATTTTGAAAGCGAATTTATGAGTGAGGAGAAGTGTGAACTAAATGAAATAGAAATTCCGAAAGAAGATGAAAGAGATAGGGAGATAAGTATGGATGAAATAATGAAAGCAATGAAAAGCATGAAAGTAGGTAAGGCAGCCGGATATGATAGAGTTTCACTCGAAATGCTAAGGGCTGGAGAGGACGTAGTGGCAGGCCTGCTGTACACCTTGTTTAATTTATGTTGGGAACTAAAGCGGGTACCGGGAGACTGGTGCAAAGCCGTGATAGTCCCAATATATAAGGGAAAAGGGTCACAGCAGGACTGTAAAAACTACCGTGGTATTAGCCTTCTTAGCATTGTGGGAAAACTGTATGCTAAGGTACTAATTCAAAGAGTTATGAAAGAAACTGATGAAAAAATTAGGGATGTGCAAGCGGGATTTAGAAAGGGAATGGGGTGTACAGATCAAGTCTTTTCCATGCGCATGATCGCGGAGAAGTTTTTGGCGAAAAACCAAAAAGTTTTTTGTGCGTTCATGGACTTGGAAAAGGCTTATGACAGAGTGGACAGGGATGTGTTATGGCAAACGCTGAACGCATTTAGGTTGAGCGCTGGTTTGATACAGGCATTAAAGTCTCTGTATAGGGACTCGAGTGCTTGTGTTAGAATCAACGGGGTCTACTCGGACTGGTTTGGCATCCATAAAGGTGTCAGACAGGGCTGTGTAGCTTCCCCGTGGCTGTTGAACCTATTTATGGACAGCTGTTTGGAAAATTTGAAAGTTGAAGAATGCGGGTTAAGAATGGGTGAGTTAACCATCAAATGCCTTTTGTACGCCGATGATCAAGTCATACTTGCGTCGTCGGCGGCCGAGTTGCAAATGATGGTTACATTAATGAACAGGTCATTAAAAGAAAGGGGAATGAAAGTGAACGCAAGTAAGACGAAAGTGATGGTTTTTGAAAGAGATGAAAGCAAGACGGTATGTGAAATAAGAATAGAAGGAGAGTTAATTGAGCAAGTGGATGAGTTCGTATATTTGGGATGTGTATTCAGCAGGGATGGGGATATTGAACGACGAGTGAATGCAGGAAATAAAGTAAATGGGGCTCTACACTCTATTGTGAAAAGTCAGAATGTGTCAAAAAAGGCACGTATGGCAATTCACAGTGCTGTATTAGTCCCTACTTTAACGTATCGTAGTGAAAGTTGGGTGTGGCAGAAGAAGCACGAGAGTAGAATATATGCAGTAGAAATGCGATCGCTAAAGAGTATGTTAGGGCTGAATCTGAGTGACAGGGTGAGAAACTGTGTGATAAAAGAAGAGTGTGGTTTGCAAGATGATGCGGTGACCAGGATTAAGAAAGGAATGCTTCGGTGGTTTGGTCATGTAGAAAGAATGAATGCGGAAAGACTGACAAAGCAAATATATGTTGCAGAAGTGAATGGAAGAGTCGGAAAGGGACGTCCTAGGCGGAAGTTTGTCGACCAAATTGGCGATATACTAAAAATGGGCCAAATTAAGAGTACCCTTAACCGACGAGCGTGTATGCGTAGGTATATGGATGTGGAAGAGGCGAGAAAGGTATGTCAGGATCGTGCTAAATGGAAGTCTGTAGTCTCTGCCTACCCCTCTGGGTGACAGGCGTGAGTGTTTATATATTATATATGTATCTGATTATGATTAAATCGTATAATGTATAATGTTAGATAATAATAATGTCCTCCAGACCGAATTTCGGTCACGGCGGCGAATCTCAACAGAGGCTAGCCATCGGCGCAGGATTATAGTGTCCGAGTGAATGCGCAAGCGCAGGTGCACTCTCTATTCCCTCACTCTCGTAATCCGATGGGACAGTAAACCGACACGACCGGGAGATAGAGATCAGGCGCAGGACCAACGGCTTTACGTGCTTTCCGTGGCGTGGGGGTGAGACACCGCCAACTTCCTGAATCCGGGCAGCTACTGAGAGTTTCTTGACAGAAAAACTCATTAATTGATTTTTGGCCCGACCCGGGATTCGAACCCTGGACCTCACGATCAGCAGTCGCACTACTACAATCACTAGACCAACGAGGCAGTTTTTTTTAATAATGGTAGATAATATGGTTACAACCCTACCTTTGTTGTACATTGGTGATATTTCCATTTTACTGGTATTTCAAAGCCTGGACCAGACATCACGGAAATATTTATTTGGGAATATGTATACTTTCAGGACCATGCTCATTACAGCTTAAGGAATGCCACAACATTCCTTAAGCTGTAATGATGATGAATACTTAATATTTGTGGATAATTATAATCAGGCTAACAATGAAGAACCTTTGCTGAATTAGCATGTTAATATTAAATTTTATTTTATTTTCAAGATGCGCGCATTAGTTTTAGTTGTGGAGGATTCACTGTGAATGCTCCTTGTTCCTAGCATTCGGACCAAGTATCTGAGCAGGATATTATGCAATTAGTTTGGACTACACCTGCAAATGAACAATTAAAAAATTATACTAAACTCCAATCAACATTTCTTTATTCTATGGCCATTATGTGATACACTAATGTCTTTTTCTTGTCAAAACAGACACTTATAAGCATTTTTTGTACTCCATCAGGTCTGCAATATGGATGGCACTAATAGAAGAGAACTCCACAACAGCGACATTTTGCATATATTTGGTTTAACTCTACTCGGTGAACATTTATACTGGACAGACATGCAGAGACGGACTTTGGATAAAATTAACAAAGATACAGGTAATGCTGTTTTATATTTAAAATGTTAAATAATTTATTTTATAACAATCAAAAAAGGCTTAACAATTACTTGCAGTGCTGTGGACCGCGGGTTCGAATTCCGCACGGAACACATTTTTTTAATGCTTACAAATAATTGTTCCGGGTCTGGATGTTTGTCCTTGTGAAATTTATGTATGTAAACTGCCTCCGCGATACATGAAAAACCCTAATGTCGGTTTTTTAAATTATAAAAGATATTTACGCTGGTATTCTGTTAGAGCGAGATTCTTCCTCTGTTGAGCCGACCCATTCAGGCTGAAGTCATAATATTACTATGTACTATATCTCAGTATAACGAATTTTGACAGTTAATTATTCATTTATTACAGCCTATCACAAGTCTATTGCTGTGCATGGGCCTAGATTTTTTTTTATAGAAGAGGGGCAAACGACCATGCGGCTCACCTGATGTTAATTGACTACCGCCGCCCATGATCAACCGCAACACCAGGGGAATTGCAGGTGCGTTGCCGGCCTTTTAGAAAGGAGTAAGCTCTTTTCTTGAAGGTCTCCAAAGAAGATTGACTCATTTGCCATAATTGCCACTATTTGCAAGCAGGTTGGCAACCACTCTTATTATTTTGAGTTATGATAAGGAAAATGCTACCGCCCATCTCCCGTTTCATTGCCCTTTGCCGTCTGTTACGACACCCACAGGATGTTATACTATGAATATGGTAAATTTGAATTGACTTTTTTTATAGAATTGGGGTGACAAACATAGAATACTATAATACATAATAGAATGGCAGTCAACCTTATTTTGTACGAAGATCGGCGTCGCCGGGAGCACGCATTCAAGATATTACGTCGTATTATTACTACTACAAACCCGATTCGCTTTATTGACAGACTGAACGAATTTACACATATTAGGCTTTTGATTAATGTTCACGATCATCATTAAAAAAATAAATCATTTAAATTTTAATACATATTTATTTGTAAATAGTGTGCAAACTAATCGTAAATACCATCGCAGTAACTATATTTTTTTTCTTATTGTAAATAAAAAGTTGTTGAACATGTTTAAGATGCGTACCATTATATTAGTCTGCATTTAAGCAAACTGTAGTATATAATGGTATTACTGCTGGGGATGTAGTCTCATTTAGTGACTTACCGGTAACTGGTAAGCACCGGTAAAACTTGAGTGTATTTATTTTGAAATATTTCAATAATATTGTTTGTTCTTAATTTTGTACAATTTTATACTAAAAGATAAATACTAAAGTATTCACTTTGTAAAAGTGCAATGAAAACAATGTTTTGTATGTCCCAAATACATGAAGCTTTGTAAATTTTGCGATTAAAAGATCCAAAATGTTACTTTTAGGAATGTAAAACAAAAACGAAATTTACTGCCAAAATGTATTAAAGATAGATGTAAATAGAGTTGTTCAGCATTATGTGTATGACAAATCTATACTTTACAATTATAATGCAAATGTCTGTCTCAAGATTTTATGACTAAACCGCTGAATCTATTTTTACAAAATTGAGATAGTTTAATGCCAGGTTAAGCCAAAAGTGATATCACAGCTAAGTAGGCTGTAAAGCCTAAAAACTTGTTAATGTTATACTATAGACTATAGAGGGAACAAATTTACAATTTGATAAATTTTTTTAAAATTGAGTTTATTCTTAGGTCATTAAATTAGTATTTTTATCGTATATCTTTATCTTTTCATTAAGCCAAGTACAAATTTAAAACACAACGACAATATTTTCCGGCTTATCGGTATCGGTAAAACTTTGTTACATACCTAGTGCTTCCAATATCTGTTGTTTTTGACACATCAATATTTCTTTATTGGTAACCTCAAAAGAGATGTGTTGACATTTATACGTGTGAATTGATATGTTCGTGACAAATTAGTGGCTAAACGGGCTCCGCCCACCCCCACCCCCCAGCCCCCGTTCTATTATGTTTGTATATAGTATTCTATGGTGACAAATGGGCACACGGTCCATCTGATTCTATGTAAATGCTGTGACCCATTGAAATCTACATAAATATCCTAGATTGAGATCAAAATACAGATGCATATTGTCACCCCCTGAGAGCTAAGATGAAATGTCTCGTTTTTAGTAAAAAAGGGTGTCCGGTTCTCTATGCTCATCATACTAAACACAGCAGCATTAAGATGCTATTTTACGCTGGTATTCTTTGAGGGTGTAGTCGTTCCCCGGTCGAGTCGACCCATTCGTGCTACAATCACAATATGGCTGCAGCATGGCTCTACCATTATTTTTTCAATCATATTTTATTAACAATGTTTTTTTTTAAATTGATCAAACTTGACAATTTTCTCAAAATTATATAGGACTTGAGAGACAACCTGTTGTGGAACAGATGGCGAACATGATGGGTGTCAAGGCATTTCATTTGGGCGAAAAACTAGGAAGTAACAGATGTAGTAATAACAATGGTGGCTGTTCCCATCTATGCTTTAACAGGCCCAATGATTATGTATGCAGTTGTCCATTAGGTAAGTTAACATAGATAAGTATCAAAAATAAACCTATTAAGATGGTTTATTTTATGAATTAACCTTAATTCGGTCATATAGAATTCAATATGAATATATGTACTTAACTTTTTTTATGGGATAGAGTGACAAACAAGCACACAGTCCACCTAATGGTAAGTGGTTGCTGTGGCCCTTTGACACATACATCTATCCTCGATTACGAATCAAAATGAAGATGCGTTGTCACCCGTGAGGACTAAGATGGAATGCCGCGATTCCAGCAAAAAGGGTCTCCGGTTCTCTACACTCACCATATGAAACACAGTAGCATTAAGCTACTTTTTAACACTGGTATTCTGTGAGAGCGTGTTCCTTCCCCGGTCGAGCTGACCCATTCGTGCTACAACTATACTACTAATATAACTCTAGCATGGCTCTACTATGTATAACATATAAAGTATACCACATCACTTAAACTTTTGACAGTGGACCATGATTATCTATTGCTTATTTTAAATCTTTGCAGCTCCCAACTCTAATTAGCAAGCATAATGAGTTGAAAGCATTTGTATTAGGGAATTGTGAAAGAAGATATCAATAATAGAATTATGCCCAAACACTCATACACTTCAATTTTAAGCGTTTAGTCTCGTGCTCACTCTATCACTTTAAGTCAAAGTGACTGTGACACCACGAGACTTGGCCACATCTTAAAATTGAGCTACCTTTGAGTATTTTGCGATTAAAAATATAGTGTAAGGGATAGTAAGCTGAAGTAGCAATGTTTTGTTACATATCTAATGAAACTAACCGATGATCGAGACAAAAGGTACCTATGTGTCAGCCGTGAAGAGGCAAACGTAGTTTAGGTTGCACTCTTATCAAACACTAGAAGTTGATGAATGCAAGCACCTCAGGACCATCTTTAATGAAGAAAACTTCACCCTCTTTTTACACCATGTTCCTCTCCGTTCTTACTACATCTCACTCTTTCTCCTGTACACCTTGGTTGTTGCGTAATTTCGTTATATATGTACTTAACTTTCTTTTATGGGATAGGGTGACAAACAAGCACACAGTCCACCTAATGGTAAGTGGTTGCTGTGGCCCATAGCCACATACATCTGTCCTCGATTACGAATCAAAATGAAGATGCGTTTTCACCCGTGAGGACTAAGATGGAATGCCTCGTTTCCATTAAAAAGGGTCTCCAGTTCTCTACACTTACCATACGAAACATCAGCATTAAGCTGCTATTTCACACTGGTATTCTGTGAGAGCGTGGTCCTTCACCGGTCGAGCCGACCCATTCGCGCTACAACTATACTACTAATATAACTGTAGCATGGCTCTACTATGTATAACATATAAAGTATTCAGTTACGTATTTCCAACTTTTTATTTATTCTTTTTCAGGTTTGGAACTACGAAACGACAGGAAAACTTGTATAGAGCCGGATGCATTCCTTGTGTACAGTAGGAAAAACATCATTGGTCGGATTAGTATCGAGAATGAAAATAATGACGCTGTACTGCCAGTGAAGGAGTTAAAAGAAGTGAGGTAGGTTTTAGTATCATCATGCCTGTTGGATTTATAAAGGTTTTAAAGTAGGTTATTTTTTTAGCCGATTCTCAAAAAAAATACCCACGCAAGTTCGAAGAGAACAGGAGCTATTCGTACAGTATAAAACCTGACATGATTCGTTGGTGCGTTTATTAGATACAGATGTTCAAAGGTGTGTTAATTTTCTTACAAAAAAATTAAACATCATAGAGATAATCATAAAGTTAAGTAAAGTAAAGTTACAGCCTATATACGTCCCACTGCTGGGCACAGGCCTCCTCTCATTTCTGAGAGGGTTTTATGGCAAGGAAGGAAGTGTCCGCCGCGCAGCCTCAATGCGTGTTGGCGAACTTCACATGTATTCGAAATATTTTTTTTCTTATTTCTCGCACATGCAGGTTTCCTTACGATATTTTCTTTCACCGCCGAGCACGTGGTAAATTAGCATTTAAAATTGCTATTAACAATGGTGCCGGCGGGGATCGAACCCGGATTACTCGCGTTCTGTTATATTTACAGAGGGCGTTAACCATCTGAGCTACCACGGCTCTAATCATAAAATGTATTAATTATTCTGGTACAAGTTATAAAATGAAAATAAAATCAAAGTACAGATAACTATTATGCATAGTATTATGCATAGTAACATCCTTGTATCAGCCATCTTAATGTTCGTTTAACTTTTAGCAAATGTGCCTGCACGTTGAAACATGTGTCATGGTTTAGCACCTTGGCATATGTTTCAAATGCACCAACGTCATGCAGGCATACCGGCTCCATACCATTCACGCAAATGACCTATATGCTATTGATAATAAATCAGCCATCATAATGACAGTTTAGTCTATCCGTTGTCGCCTCTGGAAATATAGTGTTGCTGATACACCGGAACCGGTTTGGACGGACGACGACGGCCGTCATCGTCGTTTCACGTCGTCGACAACTACCGTAGTATACTGATGTCATATTAAATATGTTTATAGTGAATATATCACTACATACTTCTATCAGTGGCCTATGTGTTTAAATATTACATTAGTTCACCTAACGCAAGAACAATAAGCCACCCAATAACATCTGCAACGACAGAGGAATCGCAAACGTAATATCAGCCTTTTAGAAAGGAGTAAGCTCTTTTCTTGATAACCCCGAAGGAGTTGGCTCTTCTTGAATGTCCCGATTGATGCGTTAAATCCGTTCTTCTATCTAATTTCTTGTTTTTAGAAAATTTCTTGTTTTTAGAAAATTTCTTGTTTTTAGAAAATTTCTTGTAAAAGTGAGAAGGATACAAAGAATTTCATACATTTCCAAAACGAATTTTAATCACTGGGCAGTATTACTGGATACTAGCCATCTGCACAGAACAGAATTAAAGTGCCCGAGCGTGTGAGCAAGCATAGGTGCATTCTCTATTCCCTCAATCTCATATTCCGATGGGATGGCAAACCGATACGACCGGAGAGGGACTAGACGCAGGACCAATGGCTTTACGTGATTTCCCGAGACACGGAAGTTAAACTCTGCAAAGTTCCTTACTCCGGGCTGCTACTGTGAATTTTTGACGGAAAAACTTAAAAACCATTTTTTTTTTGGGTTTTTTGTCGGGACCTCATGATCAGTAAGTCGCGTATGCGACCACTGAACCAATAGGGCAGTTATAAAATGATTTTTTTCTGTCAAAAATAAGTGGTAGTGGACTCAGTGGCAGTTTATAAAAATACACCAATCTTGATCTGTCTGCACTCTTCAGTTTCATATTCAGTGCTGTCGAGGACGTGTTTAACAAAGCACACAGAATGCGTACTACTGCTAGATAGATTGTAGAAATATCAGCAATTGCATACCTTCGGTGGCTTTGAAAAAAGCCGTTTGGGTTTGCTTGAGCGAAAGAAAAAGATATTTACATACAATACTGTACATGAACAAAGTACAAACAAACTATTTACAAAATTAAAAAAATACATTATACATACAGCGTAAAAAATTACATAGCATTTTTTATCAACTTATGCAATTATAATTATTTATTTATTTTATTTATGCAGTTAAGTCTTTGATATTAAATCAAGTTACACTTTTTGAGCGTGGTGACAGATAAGAAAACAATTTTTTTCTCTTATTGAATAAATGAGAAGTTAATATTGTTTTAAAATATTTTTAATATATTACAATACATGTAGGTTATTCAGGAATTTTTATCATTGAGTTAGCAGCTAGTGTACACGCATACGTCTAGTCGCACGCACACAAACACCGTGCCGAAGTCTGCCGAACTGAAACGACGTTAGACGATGCACAGCTTTCAACGCCACACCTCCGTGCCCGTCGGAGTGGGGAGCGTGAGGTTTTTTTTCGTTACGGAATTTCTGGATTCGGTCCCCGCGCTCAAGGCCCGCGATAGAAGCTATGCAATAGCTTAAAAACAAATTATAAATTGAATGTTCTCTCGTTCTTAAGAAAAGATTTGATTACGTCCGCGTAAAATATTGGTGAACGATTTAATTGTACCAATAACTGTTTTTCAATTGCGATAATTGTCCGAAAGACGCTCTTGACCTTGTGTATTTTTTCAACAATGTTTAAATATTTTACCTTTTCCTCGCCGATTGGCACTTTAACACACTTCAGTTCATCACAAGGAACACTATTATCCTCCATTTTCTCTAAAAATCTTTGAAAAGCAAAAATTTTCAACAGAATCAACAAAAACAGAGTATGTAAACATTGAAATGTGAAGTAAACTTGCAAACGTATCGCACGCGAGCCCCTGCACTTGGAAGCAACTTCAGAGCAAAGCCTGGCCTTTGATTCCATCCTAATTGCTATATAAACATTTCGTAGTTATATTTCGTTATAGAACACTGCCACAGGTTAGAAAGGGAGCGATCGTCTTCTCGAAAGCCCGGTAAACGCCCACGCGTGCGAGAGAGACGACTAATCGCTCAAATCAACTCCTTGCTTTCATTAATTTTGACAGCCCATTGCGTATTCGCTTTGAGACAAAGAGAACACGAATCAGTGTATTTCGAATTGAAAGCAAACTGCCAAGTGTTGACGTTACATAATATATGCTACGAGGTCATGAGCTGTGTAGAACATAGGAGCGCGCGGGAAATTTGAAATAGTTTGAAGCAGTTTACGAGTTATTTTATTAGTTGATATTATTGATTGAGCAGTTTGAAAGGGTAAGCCTGGCTTTTTAGCTTCTATGGAGGCTTCGCCAATGAGTGGACTATCAACCATCGAGATGATTTGTATTAAGGAGGATGTTTGGAAATAAGGTGGCCTCAAATTCATAGCAACATAGCCATCTTTAGAATATTCCGAATATATTAAGCGATGTGTTAAGTTTGTAAAACCGCCATATTTGATTTTCGTCCGTATTTATATTTTTGCAGTGCACTAGCAGTACATGTGTCTGGTGCTAAAATATACTGGTCAGACAGTAAAACGAAAACTATAAACCGTTGCTCCATTAACGGCTCTAATATGGAGAAGATTCTGGAGTGGATGGGATTGGTAGAAGGTATGTGTTCTTATCAAAGTAATAAACTTTTAAACGATTGCACTAATTATTTTTAGGCTTAGATAAAAAAATTGTACCAAATATATGCCAATGAAAAAAAGGAATTATGAAAATAATTTTATAGTTCACGGTGATTAAAACCCACGTTTAAGTCACACTTATGCGGAACTTAACTAGTCGATTATTGTACAGTATGTTTTAGTCACGCATAAAATTTAAACATTTGTTGAAACATAATAATAAATACAGAACAATAGAACTTTAATTATTAACATATATTAGAATACTTCAAATTGTGAACAGAACATTAAATAATTTGATTAAGAAATATAAAAAAAAAACTTAATATAATTTAAATTGTTTGTAAATTTTAGCTTGTTTTGTACATTTTTATCTTGTTTTATCCTGTATTTTTAAAGTACGATTATTAAACACATAAATACGATTACTACCATTTACCGTCACATTACAATTGCTTAAAAAAAATAAGATCGTTATGAATTCAGGTTCGATAAATCATTTACATATAAACCAACATCTGGATCAAACAAAACTTCTGTAAATCGAGTTCCTTTGCACCTTTGGTCCCGTTTAATTAAATCTATAGTTTGATATTGTAATTTTTATACTGAAACTTTTGGATTCTCTATATTTAAAGCTTCTTCATTTGGAGATCTAGAATTTTCAGGAAGAACATTTATGTTTGATTTTAATTTCAAATAATGTTTTTCTTGAATCTGTATTATTAAAGTCAAATTTTTGTGGATTTAAGTCACTTGTAAGGACTTAAATAACCGATTATTAAAAAGTGTAATGTTAGTTCACTCGCTTGGCTCGTGCGCTAACTTCACACGGTTCAATAATCGGCTACCTCAGTCCCTTGTATCGTAATGTACTGTTATCGTAGTCTTCCATATCTATTAACTCCTCGTATACTGGAATTAATAATGCCATCTATTAGTAGTGGAAAGATGTTTCCCTTAACATATATTTATATTAATGCATAATCATCTATAGAATCATTTTATATTTTATTACGAAATAAAGGGTATAAGGGAAATACGTAAATATGTATTTATTATATAACTTAGATTAACTTTTAGGGCCGATCCTCATTTGCCATTCACAGTTCGTTCTCGGTCCGATCTCAGTCCGATCTCGGCCTGATTTATTATAATGAAATAGGATTTGACCGAAACTTGACTGTTACGGATAGTAAGAATGCACACACATATTTTTTACTTGATAATATTTTATCTTTTACTTGATAATATTACGGAGCGAGAACGAACTGTGAACGGCATTATAATGAGGGTCGGCCCTTACTGTAAGCGCCCTGCAAATTACCTAGCTAAGGCTCTGGAACCAAATGATGCGGCACAACAAATATTTTTTTTATATATAGAAGAGGGGGCAAACGAGCATGCGGCTCACCTGATGTTAAGTGACTACCGCCGCCCATGATCAACCGCAAAACCAGGGGAATTGCAGGTGCGTTGCCGGCCCTTTAGAAAGGAGTACGCTCTTTTCTTGAAGGTCCCCAGGTCGTATCGGTCCGGAAAAATCGCTGGTGGTAAACTATTCCACAGAGATGTTGTACGCGGAAGAAAACTCTTGAAACGTACCGTGGTGGACCGCCAAGCATCCAGATGGTGTGGTTGGTATCGGGACGTTTGCCGCGTAGTGCGTTCACGAAATTTGGCGGCTGGGATTAATCCGAACAATTCCTCAGAGCACTCTCCATGGTATATGCGAAAGAAAATGCAAAGAGATGCAACATCTCTTCGCAGTGCCAGTGAATCGAGCCGATCGGAAAGCACTCGGTCGTTGACGATTCGAGCCGCTCTGCGCTGGATGCGGTCAAGTGGAAGGAGCTGGTACTGGGGAGCCCCAGCCCAGAGATGGGAACAGTATTCCATGTGCGGCCGAAACTGCGCCTTGTAGGGTTGCAGGCGGTGTTCCGGCGTGAAATACTGTCCCGCTCTGCTGAGCACGCCAAGCTTTTTAGAGGCCAATTTGGCCTTCTCTTTTAAGTGACCACGAAACTGCACGTCACTCGATTTGTCGACGCCGAGAATTCCGATACTGGCTGAGGCAACAAGGGGACTGCCTTGAAACTGAGGAGATACGACGAAGGGGTTCTTCTTAGCAGCAAACGCACAAACTTGTGTCTTCTGGGGATTAAACTGGACTAGATTTAGCCGCCCCCATTACGAGACTTTGTATAACGAAGTCTCAACTCCTGACACAAGTTTGTCCCGGTACTCGGCGACGTTTTCCCAAGAAGTATTGGCACGGCCGGTGATAAAGCATCACCAGTGCTGTCACTGCAATGCTAGGAATGAATGTTACCGGTTTGCAGCATGTCATTGATATGCAGAAGAAACAGCGTTGGTGATAGCACACATCCTTGTGGAACATCAGCGTTAATGGGCTTGTAATCGGAGCATGCACCGTCTACTACGACCTTGATGCTCTGATCTGTACGAAAACTGGTGATCCAATTGCATAATTTGGCCCATAGGAAGGAAGCTTCGTAAGAAGCGCTTTGTGCAATAACCGATCGAAGTCCATCGTTATGTCCAAACTAACGGCCAACGCCTCCTCCTTGGACTCTAGTGGCTCCGCCCATTTATGAGTTAGGTAACCCAGAAGATCACCAGCCGAGCGACCGCGACGGAAATCCTCCGACGGGATCCTCAAAGTACCGCATAAGCTGGCTGTTAATAATGAATTCCATTTGCTGTTATATTTTCTATATTAACTGCCTCGTTGGTCTAGTGGTTGTACTAGTGCGACTGTTGATCATGAGGTCCGGGTCCGAATCCGAGATTGGGCCAAAAAGTCAATTATTGAGTTTTCCGTCAAGAAATTCTCAGTAGCTACCCGGAGTTAGGAAGTTGGTTGTGTCTCACCCCCGTGTCTCGGTAAGCACGTAAAGCCGTTGGTCCTGCGCCTGATCTCTCTCCAGTCGTGTCGGTTTTCCGTCCTATCGGATTATGAGAGTGAGGGAATAGGGCACTATAATCCTGTCCTGCGTCAATGGGCTAGTCTCCGTTGAGGCTGGCCGCCGTGACCGAAATTCGGTCGGGAGGACATTATTATTATATTTTCTATATTAATACTTTCTATTTAGGCTTAGCTATAGATTGGTCGGCACAGAACATCTACTGGACGGACACGGCCGCACAACGGATCGAAGTGGCGCGACTCGATGGGTCCAGTCGTCGCACTTTGCTTTGGCAGGGCCTCAAAAAACCTAAGAGCATTGTGCTTGATCCAAAGAAGGGGTGAGAAATATATACATTATAATATATATTTAATATAATCTTTTTATGCGAAAAAGACCAAAATTTTTCTAGGAAAACTATTTTCAACTTTCACTGTTTATCGACCCATTTAAAGTACCTATAATACAAAAAAGAAAACTTGTCGATTTTTTTTTTTGAAAATTTATTATAACGTTTTTAAAAGAGTTAACAACTAAATATTGTCAATGTGAAAAGGTTCTCCAGACACGTTTTTATAAAAGGTCCGTAGTAGAGAGCCGTGGTAAGGTAGTAAGTTTCACAATACGTGAGCAACATGGGTTTTATTACCGCGGGCTGCAATAAAATTGTTATTTGAAATTTGAACTGTGCTGAGCGCTGTAAGATAACATTACGATGAAACCTGCATGTCTAAGAAACAAAAAATATTTTGAAATGATGTGGAATTCGCCAATTCGCATTAGAACATCGCTGCAGACTAATTGATCCATAATCCTCTCAGAGGGGACCTGTTCCCAGCTGTAGGACGTATAATAGATGTATCTTTACTAAATTAGTCCTTACCATAAAATACCAAATTTAAAATTGGGATATAAGAACAAGTTTTCTTATAGTTATTGAAACCGTTTTATATGCCGAATTGAGTTTCAATAACTGACAGTAATACTAAATTAAACAAAAAAGGTTTTACTCTATTTAACTTTCAGGTATATGTACTGGTCCGAACTAGGCTCTAAAAATATAAAACGTGCTGCAATGGACGGTTCTTCACCTACAGTGTTCATAGAGCAAGTGGGTCGTGTTCACGCTCTAGCTATAGACTATGAAATGCGAACAATTTACTGGGCTGCTTTGGATCCACCGGTAATAGAATACGCCTTTCTAAACGGAACTGGACGTCGAATTTTAGCAAGTAATATCTCTATGCCATATGCTCTCACATTATATGGCGATCGCGTGTTTTGGGGTGATTGGAACACCGGTAAGTACTATTGTTAATTATTAAAAATAGCTTATTATATATTGCGTGTACTTTTGTTTTAATGCCTGCGATTAAAAACAATTTTCATCATCATATTATTTCTATATTTTAAATCAAAATCGATCTAAATTTAAGGCCCTACTAAATGTATCAAATTCAATAATATATTGGGCAAACGAGCATGCGGCTCACCTGATGTTAAGTGACTACTGCTGCCCTTAACTTTAACCTCTGCAACACCAGGGGATTTTCTTTTATAGAATAAGGCTGATAAACGAGCACACAGTTCGCCTAATGGTAAGTCGATGTAGTGGTTCGTAGACATCAACATGGTTGTCGGTCTATTATTCATGACGTTGTTAACTACCATTACCAATCGTAAAACAGGTGTGGTCGAAACGGCATTAAAAAGGGACGGCAGCGAGCGCAGGAGCATCCACGGCTCGCTGGACTACATATCGGACCTGAAGGTGTTCTGGCGCGGGCGCGAGGCGGACGGCGGGCAGTGTGGCGCAGACAACGGCGGCTGCGCGTACCTGTGCCTACCGCGCGCGCACGACTTCCGTTGCGCCTGCCCCGCGCACTATCGCCGCAGCGCCGACAACCTCACCTGCGCGGGTATACTCACACGAATATTGCTCGTACCTAGGACAGCTAGCTGCGCCTGCCCCGCGCACTATCGCCGCAGCGCCGACAACCTCACCTGCGCAGTTATACTCACACGAATATTGCTCGTACCTAGGACAGCTAGCTGCGCCTGCCCCGCGCACTATCGCCGCAGCGCCGACAACCTCACCTGCGCGGGTATACTCACACGAATATTGCTCGTACCTAGGACAGCTAGCTGCGCCTGCCCCGCGCACTATCGCCACAGCGTCGACAACCTCACCTGCGCGGGTATACTCACACGAATATTGCTCGTAACTAGGACAGCTAGCTGCGCCTGCCCCGCGCACTATCGCCGCAGCGTCGACAACCTCACCTGCGCGGGTATACTCACACGAATATTGCTCGTACCTAGGACAGCTAGCTGCGCCTGCCCCGCGCACTACCGCCGCAGCGCCGACAACCTCACCTGCGCGGGTATACTCACACGAATATTGCTCGTACCTAGGACAGCTAGCTGCGCCTGCCCCGCGCACTACCGCCGCAGCGCCGACAACCTCACCGCTGCGCGGGTATACTCACACGAATATTGCTCGTACCTAGGACAGCTAGCTGCGCCTGCCCCGCGCACTATCGCCGCAGCGTCGACAACCTCACCTGCGCGGGTATACTCACACAAATATTGCTCGTACCTAGGACAGCTAGCTGCGCCTGCCCCGCGCACTACCGCCGCAGCGCCGACAACCTCACCTGCGCGGGTATACTCACGCAGATATTTCCGCAACTTCTCTGCGAGGGCTCTGTCGAAATAATCTGAACACCTAACACATCAAATTCTGTCGCGTAATGACGCAACACGCAGCATTATAAATCAAGAATAAGAAGATGACTTGTACGAGCATGTAATATAATCTGGTTGTCAGAATAGTTGAAAGCCCCGCTGAATACTTAGTGTTTTATAAAGTTCCGTCGCCAAAAATGTTGAGAGTCGATGTTCTGAAACAGCTATCTGCTACCTCAGCCTCAACTTCACTGCTCCAACTCACCTGCGCAGTTATGATCCTACAAATGTTATTTACACCGGTTAATATTATCAGAGAGAGAGAGAAAGGTATGGCGGGATAGTGCTAAAGGGAAGTCTGTATTCTCCGCCAGTAGTTTATCGTGTAGTAGCTGTGTAAGAATATCCACTACCCCGTATCTTCCCGTGGATGACGTAAGAGACGACAGTGCGAAACTGAACCAAGAAATGGACAGCAACATCATCTTCCTGATAACAGCAGAATCAAAATAAAAACTATGATTACTTTGACGGTTATGTATGTATGTATGTATAAAACGTTATCACATAAAACGACTTATCCATTGTGTTACATCACCAGTCTGTTATTATTGCCCCATAACGAAGATTTACCTTAGATGCCACATTTGACGGGTAGACTGGCTACTGGTTGTGGTAGAGCCATGCTGCAGTTATATTAGTAGTATAGTTGTAGCACGAATGGGTCGGCTCGATCGGGGAAGGACCACGCTCTCACAGAATACCAGCCTTAAATAGTAGCTTAATGCTGCTGTGTTTCATGTGGTGGGTGTGGAGAACCGGAGACCCTTTTCACTGGAGGCGAGGCGTTCCACCTAAGTCCTCACGGATGACAACGTATCTGCATTTTGATTCGTAGTCGAAGATGGATGTAGATGTCTATGGGCCTGAGCAACCATTTACCATCAGGTCGACTATGTGCTCTTTTATCATCCTATCCTATTAAAAAAAAACGCAATATTTTTTTGTTATTAGTAAAACGCTGCTGCTCTATCTCCTGGTTTGTTTTCCACTGTTGACTATAGGATATTATTACACCCCCACTACACGGAATACAATCTATTGTAATATTTTAATAATAAGATAAAAATGAAAAAAAAAATTTAAAAATATTCTGGGCTTAAATTTAAAAATTTTGTGTTGAAAATCTAGTGATTAAATTAACACAAGTGCAGAGAAATTACATTAATGAGTTGCAACAACTAATTATGTACATCATAAATGTTGTTCTTCATTTTACAGAACCAGAAGAATATCTTCTGTTTGCACAAAAGAATGCGATAGGACGCGTTTTAGTTGCGACCGGCGAATGCAATGACGCTTTTATACCATTGACTGGGCTGAAAAGCGTTAAGGCAATCGAGTATGATCCAGTAAATAAGTAAGTAGACCTTTTTTTTATTAATGTTGTAAAAACTTGTACGCACCAAGCGTTCAAATGTACGCGTAATCTAAGTATGTTGAATACGCGTACTCGCTCGTGGATCGTGAACACCTTTAAGAACCGCGTTCCTGGGCGGTTCTCACCGCCCAGACCATCGACCGACACGAGCTGAGCAGTCAGAGACGGGGGTGCGCACTCCCCCCCCCTCGGACTGCGGTTAGATAGCTCAAAAAAATGCCTAAAAAGGCGACATGATGATTGGTAACAATACCAAATCATAAACCATTTCATCATCATCCTCACCTCATTGCCTTTCCCTTTTTTTAAATAGCTCGCGGCCTTGCAGACCGGGAGCTCTGAGTCATATGAAGCTGTAAGAATCGCATAGACTAACAGCACTAACATCTGGATACTAGTCACACCTTTACGCATTTCGGGATTATGAACGCGTCGCAAGTCGACCAACCATTCGTCATCGACACTTCTCGTTGTGCAACCAAAAACCAACTGGCGACGACTCGTCGCGAGTCGACACGCGTGCTGAATTGTATAAGCGATGCTGCAGGTATAGACTAGCGTTCTTTTGTACGCGTAACCGATTATGCGTACATTGGGACGCTTAGTCCGTACAAGGCTTTACGAGAGTATTTATTTGTAATGGTTTGCTATATTATGAACTCTTATAATATTATATCATTTTCAAAAGCGGTAATAGGAAATAGTTACTAATAATTTGATTCATATTACTTTGTTTCAGACATCTTTACTGGATAGACGATGAGTCCCATGCAATCCGTCGAGTGCCCGTTTCGTATTCGACTACATCAGCCATCACAGATTCAACTCCTGTTATAACAGGGCTTACGAGACCCTTTCACATGGTTTTAGACGTGATAGGACGAGCGTTGTATTGGACTTGCCTAGACAGTGACTCTATCAACGCAACCTCCATAGTAAATAGTTCATTAACTGGAGTCATTTTAAGAGGAGAGAAAATGATGCCAAGACATTTGGGTTTTCATCAAACCAAGCGGTGAGTGAATATGATAGTTCACTATAATCTCATTATTATATTAATGACGCAATAACAATTAGAAATAAGTATTGTACATTACAGCTGTGTTCTTTTATAGAATAAGTGTGACAAACAAAAATTGCCATCTACATCTACCTCAATTAACAATCAAAATGCATATGCGTGTCATCTTGAGTACTGAGATGGAATGCCTCATTTCCAGTAAAGAAGGTTTCCAGTTCTCCACACTCATGTTTTATTCTTTTTTATAGAATAAGGGTGACAAACGAGCACACAGTCCACCTGATGGTAAGTGAATGCTGTGGCCCATAGACATCTACATTCATCCTCGATTAAGAATCAAAATGCAGATGTGTTGTTACCTCTGAGGACTAAGATGTTGCCTCGTTTCCAGTTAAAAAGGGTCTCCGGATCTCCTCACTCACCATACGAAACACAGCAGTATTAAGCTGCTATTTTACGCTGGTATTCTCTGAGAGCGTGGTCCTTCCCCGGTCGAGCCGACCTATTCGAGCTACAACCATAACATAGCTGCAGCGTGGCTATTTTACGCTGGTATTTTTTGAGAGTGTATTCCTTCTGATCGAGCCGGCCCAGTCCTGCTATAACTATAATATAGTGGTTCTACCACGTAATGATTTAACACATCCACAATGAACATAAAAAATAGTCAAACATTAGTGCATCCACAGTCGGCTTCTGGATTGAATGGTAACAGAGCTACAATAATTACAAGCTGTTAGGCTTTTCATCTTATTCTTTAGCGGTAGTAACAGTTCTGTTATCTTTTTTATTTACAGTTGTTGTACTCGTAAGTGTCAAGGAGCTGCAGTCACTTACCATCAAGTGGACTGTTTGTCACTAATCTAATATATAAAAAATAAAATTTGTTTGTTCGTGCTTTATGCGCTGCCATATCGTTTATCAGATTGCGCTAAAACTTCCGTAAATTTATTGCTTGCACTTGCGCGGAGGATATAGGCGTAGTACAATTAATTTACACTAGATGGCGCGCGTACCGTACGGACAAACTTAATTGATAGTTATATATCATCATTATCATACCTAATTAACCTCTCAGGCCCGGACATTGTATTGGACCAACTTAGTCAGACCTATGGTCAGCCAAAGTTATTTTTTTTAATAAAGGTAAAATAGCGTAGAGTCAGTTTGCTAATTAATTTTATTATGGTCTATTCTAAAATATAAAAAATATCAACAATTTTCGCCTTATTTGTATGAAGGTCAAGTGAACGCTAGAGAAACGACGATTGCAAGACGTTGTAAATAAGTAAAATATTTTGAAAAATTATCGACGGTGTATCAATATCCATATCATCCCTTGGGTGTGGTTAGAGGTGACTAGACTTGGGGAAAAAGTGTTATTTTTAATCAACCTTGAAACGTCGTTCCAATTACGAAAAAGTCACAGTGAAAAATCATCGTGACTTTGTCACCTAAGCTAGTCGTTCAGTCGGTGTTAGGGATGATGACTCCTAAAAATATCGATTTTAAATCGATTCTAATCTAAATCTGATAAATCGAATCAAAAATAACGCGAGATTTAAAAGATCGATAAAATATATCTTTTTTGATTTACTTTTCGAGCTTATATTTGTACTACCAACACAATACAACAAAGCAGATTACAAATGTTACTTTTTTATTCATTAATCCATTAAATCAAATCAAATCTTTTTATTTTCAGACAACATAGGTCCATAAGGGTTAGTAATTAATTCTAATAGTAAGGGGGTTAGTAGTACTATATTATAATAATAATTTAATTTAAATAATTTACGAATCCGGACATTGTCCACACATAGATCCTTAACATAGGTGCATGTGGATTATCTGCTACCGTCCTCAGGATGCTGTTGTCACTTCCCCGTACGCGGCTTATTAATGCCACCACTTTCTTGCGCATGAGTGCCTGAAAACCATCCGTTCTCGCCTGAAACGAGGAAGTTTCAACATCATCCTGAAGATATTATTATACTGGACGCGAAGGGTGTTTAACGATCCTTTGGTGTAGCTGATCCACAGACCGCTCGTGTACATGTTTTGACAAAATGCTTTAAAAAGCATAATCCTGACTTCATCCCTACAACGAGCGCATCTACGGACCTGCATGTTACCACGGACCGCCAAAGCCCTACGCTCCCGTTCTATGTCTAAATCGTCTCTAAGGTCGTCGGTAAGTATCCACATACGTACCCAGGTACTTAAATTGGAAATCTCTGTTCAGCTCCACTCCACCGAGGCAAATTGAAGAGGCGAAAGAAATTGTGCACACAGCCTTTTCGTTTTCGAATAATTAAGAGAAAAACTGTATCTTTTTTTACGGTTTGGGTACACTCATCTAATTATAAACAGTTTTATGGTTCTTGTCAAAACTGAAAAAAAACCGAATCTTGATTTGTAGGGTAAAATATCGATTCACTGCTAAATAGCGATTTTAAATAGGTCTTTTTCGAACAAGGTCGTCAAATTCTGCCATTTTTCCGAATATACATGTAATACATGCATGTGAAAATTTTGAGGGTCGAAAAAGAATTAATAGAAAACAAAGTAAATACTTCCAACGATCAAAAACTGCGATCGTAGTTGTTCTGTTTCGGAACTCAGGTCAAAATAGCATAGCGCCTATAACGCAATCGACTAACACTACGATAATATCGAAACAAGACGAAGCGCGCGAAATCAAGTGACACAGGTCCAAACTCAACAAGCGCTCACGTTGTAGTGAGTGCAAATGGCCAGCGCAGTGAAATACATGGTACGTTTGTTTAATTAATTAAAAAATAAAGTAACGATTTAAAAAGTAGAAATCATAGTATAGTTTAAGCAAATGTTGATGATTATTTTAGTATAAATTTTACGTCATAATGATGTATAACTTCGGAGATATTTGGGCTTGTATCGAGGCTTTTTCGGTCGTTAATTGAATTATGTCGATTTTTTTACTTACGTGAAAGGCATATATTGAAAATATATTCTATCATTATTAAAGTATAGGATACTAGGGAGATTTGTTTTTCGATGATTAACCTGTAAGCCAAGCCATGCGCTTTTTTGATCGTACAATACCTACCTTACGTCCGCCAAGCAATGATCTAATTTGATCAGAATTATGTAAACGTGTGTACCTATGAGAAAACTATTTTTTCGTTTTAAACAAAACCAAAGACACTATGCAATAGATAATAGTATCAAAGACAAAGATATGCTCTTTTATTTTAAACCATAACCTGGCAATGTTTCTTAGAAAAAAAAAAGAAATCACTCTGAACTTTCGGCGTTCCACGTGTCGTTTTGATGAAGGTGCTCCGTCTTTTTTATAGAATTTTATATTTGTGTCTGGACTAAAAACGAAAGTATTATACTTTTTTTATATTCCTTGTAATATAGTGAACACATATATATATAATTTGTGGTATAAAAAGTGAAAAGTAAATTGCCAAAAGTGCTTCAAAATCTGGAAGGCCCATTATGGCGGCTGGGTCATAAATGTGTTATTTTTCAAATTCTCATTTATTTTTAGTGTAAAATGTAAGTAAAAATAGTTTTCTTACATATTTCAAATAACTTGACGTTGTATTTATTTCAAATTCACACAAAACTATTTTAGAAATATTGTTCTAAATGTCACACAGAGAAAATATTATTATTTTTTTTATTTTTTTTATATTTTAATATTTTGGTATGAGTAACGAATGGAAACACATAAAACATAAAAATATACATATTTCCAAACATTTTCATATAAATTTCTCTAAAAACAAAAGTGTAGAATTCAAATTAGTAATAATTTTGTCACTAAAATTGAAGTATTACCACTACTATGTTACACAGGGTAATTTACGTATTTTATTACAATTTCTAGCAACCAAAAATAATTTTATTCGATAGTTTATACATTCAACAAGAATTCCTGTAAGTTTTATCCATAAATATTGTCTCAAAGTGAAAATATAGCAAAATTTGCAATATAGCAAAAAATTTGCTAATTTTCAAATTTTCCCGCCATTACGGTCCCGAGCGAACGGGAGTATAACATGTCGCGCGCTCGCTTGGCGAACAGGTTTCAATAGAATCTACAAATTAGAGCTCCCAAATCATGTCTCTCAGAGTTTTGGATTAAACCTGCATCGGGAGAATGATTATTACTAAATAAATAAATAAGTTATCTATAATTTGCTCTGAATTTATTCTAGTAGAGAAAACGAACTTTTTTTACCAAGTAATTGTTATTTTAAACAACGAACGGAAAACGTATAATTTCAACGAAGAAACCTTGTATTTTAGCGTTTTTTTTATAATGCTCCTCAAAGAAGCATAATTTAGTAACGAGTCTAGTCTAACAAAATTTTTAGAATTTTAGTTGTATAATTCTTATATAAAACATTTAAAAAATTTCTAAGCACTCTTGTCTTGTCTTGGTTATGAGAAATGTAATGTACTCCGTTGTTTTGAGGTCCCTTCCAAATATTGCTATATCTTTGTAAAGGTCTACAAATTTATCGTGGGGAGCCACATATTGACCGGCAGAACTTGACAGATTAAACAACAAAATTTTCCAAATTTAAAACGATATCTCCATACTTATTTGTATTATATAAAATAAGCAATTTGTAATACACTTCTATTAGCCACAGCGTCCTCTCAACATCAGGTAGACTGTGTGTTGGTTCGTTATCCTTATTCTATAAAAAATCTTTAGATTTATCGATGTCTATAAAAACTACACAGCATTCTACTATTTTTGTTGATAACGTAAATTAAGTTCGTGAGTGATGGTGGTTCTTGACTGTTTAGTAGGAAATCTACTACCCCATATCATCCCCTGGGTGTCATAAGTAGCAGCAGAGGGATATTAAACGGAAGATTGGAGTAAAAAAATTTGGTTGTCAACACGCCTGCGGAGCATAGCAACAATGACATATGCCCCCCCCCCCTCTCCTATGTTCAATAGTAGATTTAAATAGGCTGTATTGACTGATTATTTAATGATAAATCCAAAATAAACATTTTCCCACAGACTGCTAGTGTGGAATGACGTGGGATTGGGTGTAATAATGCGTGCGAACGTTGATGGAACCTCCCGCGCTGAGCTCGCCGGAGCCACCAACGCGACGGCTCTCACTGTGGACCAGGCATCTGGTACAGTGTACTGGGCGGTTAACAGGCAGATACACGCTGTCGACTTAGATGGAACTAATAAGTGAGTACACTGTATTCGTAAAATCACTTTTTTTATTTAATATAAGCTAGTGCTTGGCCACACCTCCCACCTGGCGGTAAGTGGTGATGCAGCCTTAGATGGTAAATCGCACTGTCTTAGCGTAACAAAAGCCTACTCACTCTTGCCTTGAAGATGCCCAAATTGTATTCGGACGGAAAGACAGACGCCATCAAATTATTCAACTCCTTTGCTGTATGCAGTACGAAAGACGAAGCAAACCGTTTGGTTCAAATGCGTGGAGATAACGACAATGTAAAATACGAGGGGCATTCAATGTATTCTCGGTATTAGGATGATTTGCTAATTATGTAGGTAGTTAAAAAAATCCATAGCCAACGACACTATCTGAGGGTATAAATATGAAATTTCGTCTTGATAACTTCATTACTTCTTATGTTACCTTCAGTCATAGGTGATGGGAATGACTGACTCGACAATGTTGAAAAAAAATCGAACACCGTGCGGTGTTTAAATTCAAAATTCAAAAATGTTTATTCTGTAACAAAAAATTAACAATCATAGCAGTATATTAGAGTTCTCTAGTTACAAGAATAGCATAATATTCCTTTCTTAAAATAATTTATTATGAAAAAATATGAAGATGTGTGCGCGTGCGTGCGCGTGTGTGTGCGTGTGTGTGTGTGTGTGTGCGTGTGTGCGTGTGTGCGTGTGTGTGTGTGTGTGTGTGTGTGTGTGTGTGTGTGTGTGTGTGTGTGTGTGTGTGTGTGTGTGTGTGTGTGTGTGTGTGTGTGTGTGTGTTTTGTAAGTCGTGTTATTTTAACACATTTTCTATTTCGTGATAGTCTTTTCGTTTGAGCCATTCAATGAGAATTACTTTACATTCTTTACTGGTTTTAGAATAAATATTCAATTCTTTATTTAAGTAGTTATGTAAATAAGATGACTTTTTTGCCTGTTGCCGTCTAGCAAATGCTGTTTTAACCGAATCGCTTGGAGCTACGTTAGTTTTCCTCCTTTTATTTACAATTTCAGCGTTATATGCAAGGGATTTGTGTACCTTAAGAACTATATTTAGTATGTATAACTTACGAACTGTAAGAAGATCAATAAATCTTGTGTTGGGAATTTGTAAGGTTTAAAATTCATAACCTTCAGTAATGATCTCTGAACTCTTTCTAAATCTAAAAACTTTGTTTTTGTAGCACCTCCCCATATACTAATACAATATACCAGAACTGATTGAACTAAAGAAATATATACTTGTTTTAATATAGGTGGTGTTGCGAGATGTCTCAAAATTTTGAAAAACCATGTGAATTTTCTAATCTTAGTCATTAACACTTTAATATGTAGATGCCAAGATAATCGCTGATCCAATAGTATTCCAAGATATTTTGTACTTGATACTTTGTTTATGTGAGGGCATGGGCAGTTAGAGTTATTAAGGTCAACACAAGAATGAATTTTAATATTAAAATTAGGTTGAGTCCTATTGTAGTTAGTAAAACATATATAGTTAGTCTTAGATGTATTGATAGTCAATAAATGTAGTCTCAACCATTCTGCAACCTTGGCTAACCCCACTTCAGCGCTATGCCGGACATCTTCCCAGCTTCGACTACAGAATGCCAGAGCAGTGTCATCTGCATACGAGAATACGTACCCATTTTGTAGCGATATATTACATAGGGAGTTTACGTAAACCAAAAATAGAGTCGCACTCAGTACACTCCCCTGTGGGACGCCGTAGGTAATGGTAGAATCATGACTACAATGCTCTCCTATTTTGACTCGTTGTCTACGGTTTGTTAAGTAATCTTTAAATAAATCTAGGGGTTTACCTCTAATACCTATTTGTTCAAGTTTCTTTACAAGAGTGGGGACAGATACGCTATCGAAGGCTTTTTTTATGTCGAGAAAAACTGTTAAACATTTATTTCTTTTGTCGACTTGGTCAACAATGAGTGAAGTTAGACCTGAAATAGCGTCTTCTCTAGCAAAGACCTCGTCTAAAGCCAAATTGTGATATTGAGAGTATTTTGTATTTATTTAAATAATTAGTTAAACGATTATTTAACAATTTTTCTAAAATTTTGGATATTGCGGGAAGAACAGATATGGGTCTGTAGTTACTTGGATCGCTTCTGTCTCCACCCTTGTATACAGGAGTAACTAATGCCAACTTTAGAGCAGTAGGAAAAACGCCATCCCTAAAGCAAAGATTAACCAGGTGAGTTATTATGGGTACTAATATTACATTTGCATGTTTTAGAAAATTGGTGGTGATATTGTCATATCCAGGGGCACTCTTTGTTTTAAGATTCATTAAGATATTTCTAACCTCCGAATCATCAGTCTCCAGCAGAGCAAAAGATGAAGCATGGGAGCTTACTGTTTTATCCGTAGTGAATAAATTAATAGAGTTAGGTTTTGATAGAATATCCTCCGCTAGGGATTTCCCAACATTGGCAAAGTAACCATTAACCAAGTTAACGGATTCAAGGGGGGTCGATTCTATTTTCAACAACTCTATATTTTTGTCTAGTGACTGCTTGCGATGTGTGATATCATTTATTGCTTTCCAGAGCATCTTAGGGTTGGTGGCATTAATTATCTGTTATCGCTCAAATTTGCGCTTAAGTTTTTTAATTAATTTGTTGCAGTGATTTCTGTAGCGCTTATACGTGATTCTCAACACTTCATTTTCTGGATCAGATTTTAAATTTAGTTGCATATTATTACGGTTCCTAATGCATCGTAGGACACCTTGAGTCATCCAGGGTTTTACCGTGCGACTTGTTTTGGGGACCAATTTCATAGAGGTATTTTCTTGAATATGTGTCTGGATTTTATATATCAATAATTCGGTTAAAATGTTAGAGTCATTGCATAGAAGCAGTTCTTGTAAGTTTGTGTTTTTAAGGCTATTAATAGCATTTTCATAATTGACTGACCTTTTGAATTTATTACTAAATGTAGTTTTATAATAACGATTGTTTAACTTAAGGAAAATCATGTAATGATCTGTGATAGTTTTAATCATGTATAGTGTTCGCGTAAATATAAGAAATCATTATGTGATAGTTGTGTTTATCACTACGATTGTTGCATTTGATTTATTTGTATCTATTTTCAACATACAGTGATCGAGACAGTTGCTACCTCTCGTAGGTATCGAGTGTCCTGGAAGCAAGCCATGTGTACATAACATATTTAAATAGTTTAGTCTATTTATTCTTTCATGTGTACTTTCATTATATTTGTGTATTATATTAATGTTAATATCACCCGTCAAGACAATGTGTTTGCACATTTTTAAGGACTTTAAGTAAAGACTAAGAGAGTTGATAAAACTTTCAGCATGTATGTTAGATGGCGAGCGATAAATACCAATAAAATAAATTCCTCACCAAACAATGAAATACTCAAAAAACATTTATGTAGAAATGGTGGCCATCTACCAAGACTGCTCCTTCAATGTTAACCGTACAGAAATGGTAAAATGAATTCAAAAGAGGCAGGGAAAGCATCGAAGATAAACCCCCCCCACCACCACCACCACCACCACCCGGGTGGGCTAATCACAGAGGCTACGAAAAAAAATGTGAAAATTATGGAAAATCTTGTATTAGAAGATGCACGTGTAAGAATTGACATTTTTTTATTCTTTTTTTTTTATTTAGGGACTTAGGTTATTTTAAACATGTCAGTCCCATTGTACCTTATAACTAAATAACAAACTACAATTTCTTAAATTATTTACACAAAATATTAACTAAGTTATATACAATTTGAGCAGCATTAGATAATGTTTCAGACAGAATGCTTTGATATTCCCCTAGGTTACAAATTTTAATATCAGTTTTGGCAACTAATAGTTTCCTTTCATGATGATTTTTGGAACATTCCGCGAGCAAGTGTTGCACATCTTCTATTGTTTTGCATGTATCGCAATTTGGAGATTGTTTCATTTTCGTCATGAAAGCAAACTTGTTACACGGAATGTGTCCGGAACGAAGTCGCATTGCTAATACAATATATTTTCTATTCAACAGACATCGATTAAACCAATGCACTTTCGGAGGCTGACTGGATGGTTTTGTACCAAATCCCTTTTTCTTGCGATCTTTTATCAAAATATTCTTTCCAAATTATATAACATTTCTCTTTATATTTAATTAAAATTTTTGTATAATCAGGATATATATTACATTCTCTTCCTTGGGTGATTGCCAATTTCGCCAGCTTATCAGCCTCCTCATTGCCCTGTAAACCGATGTGAGACGGACCCACTGAAATACTAACTCACGGTTTTTACATTGAAGTTTCAATATTTCATTTAATATCGAATATGCTATCGATACACCTCTGAGACCAGAGACTCATCGAGCAATATGTTCAAGAGCACTCTTTCTATCAGTTAGAATGACTGTTTTTTGAAAATTTGTTGTTCCAGCATATAATAGGACATCATTTATAGCAATTAATTCAGCTGACATTATCGTAAAATTATTAGGAATTTTAATTTTACTTTTATTACCCAGCAATGAGTCAAAATAAGCGGCACCTACACCATATTTATCTTTGGATCCATCACAGAAAATTTTGTGCCATCCGAAATAATTAACATTTAATTCATTTATTACATTCGACTTTAAAGTATTTATCTCCTGACATCTTTTAGCACCCTTGATACAATTTGAGTCCTGTTTAATTACGTTTTTAACATTGATACTTGATAACCAAGTATTTAAAGAGAACATATCTAGTGGATCCGAAGAATACACATTATTATCATTAACTTGTTCTAATGTAATTGCTAGAAGTGGTTTCTTTTTATTTTGCCAGTACCTGTCTTGACAGAATAAGCTGAGTTCTGTTAATAGTTTAATAGTAGTATTATTAGTTCTAGATTTACCTTTCAGACAATATTTATATGCTAAAAATTTTCTTCTAATATATAGAGGCGTTATATTTAATTCACTTTCCATAACGTGTATTGGTGTACTTTTGATAAA